ACAGTGGGACGAAGAAGTTCAATTCAAATATTAATCCTTAGTGGTTGGGAATCACACAAGAATCAACTTACGTAGTTCCATGTCCTCTATAATAAGAGACCACGACCACTGCTGTGCCCTCCAACTACCATGAAATTTAGCGTCGCTATGGTTAAACACTTCAAAAGTTAGTCACTCTCGCTAACGCTAATTTTGCCGTTAATTTCCTTTCATATTATAAGCAAAACAAACCAATGAAAAAATTAATAAACATTATTAAAATTATACATCTGTATTGATTCCTTATATTATACAAACTGAAAAAAATTATAAAATTACTGAACAAAAATGAATATCATTGAAATAGTACTGTGGCGTCATTCTTTGAAACACAGGGATGTCATCACTTAGTTGAGACAATATGACTGGTCAGTAACAAGCGCAAAACATACAGTACTCTACACTGGAACAGCAACTGCGCTCCGTCTGTAAAAGGCAACGAATTGTTTTGCTATATGTAGAATCATGTACAGTATATACGGTCTGACAAACAGGTTAAAACTTGCAGTTGGTGCTGCCTCAGTTGTTTACGGTGTAGACTTAAGTAGCCAAACCAATTATTAGTTCAAATTAATTGATGAATTAGCGCTAACACATTGTTAGCGTCGCATTTCCCATGACTGACCACATAAACCATGAAAATAGTATTTTGGCAGTGATCTAAAAGGAAAACAATAAATTTTCAGACAAACTCTCCAAATTAACCTATTAATAAGCAGTAACTTAGGTTCTACAGTAGCAAGTGTGAGTTCCCATCGTGTACTGTTTTCTGTCGGCACAACCTGCTTTAAGGTCTGCTAGAATGTCGCTACAGGGCTGATGCACACAAGATGTTCGGCCTCACAGATTGTTTCCAAGTTCACACAGGTCACCGAAATAGCAATACAAATGCAAAATACCTGTAGAATCACCGACTGGGAATCCACAGCCCAGGTTGGCCTCTGCTGTCAGCGACCGATGCATATTGCGTGTTGTTGTCTCCCAGTGTTCAGGTAAAACACTTGAAACATGTCAGTGAGAGGATGCCACATAGCTATACTGTTCCACTTCTCCATAGCTGATGAGTTGTTTTGTCCCCCTTAGTCTTTTGTACACACTATCTCGCATGCCCAATGTGTTGTCCTGGAAATAGGTTCACATACATAACATACACAATAAATCCCCGAATGGTAATCTCCAATGGCAATACAAGTAAGAATATGTCATCAGACCACAGCGGACCTTCCACCACCCTTATGGTACTGACACAGCCACGTCTATACGTCGCTAAACAATTGACACTGACTAGCACAAATGAAGCTGAATTTTATTAAATCTATAAAACTATGGTTTTTCTTTACCAAGTTTCAATAGTCTTGTAGAATCTTTAATTCAAACAAACAAAATTAAGCAAAACAATTACATTGAACTCAAGGTACAACATTGATTTACCACCAAACGAATTCACTTGATTTTCGTCAACTTCAAGTATAACACTAAAATGGCCGACCGATGTTTTGTGACAGTCCTAGCCAGTTACCTCTCCATTTTAATTAATTATAATTACTTTGTGTTCATTGATAAATGAAATTACAATTACGGTTGGCATAATAAGAATTTTATTACAATTAATTTTACTATGCCAAGTAATTGATTCCTTTTGCGATTACATTTGTTTGTTTGTTTAGACTACATCATGGCATCCATTATGTCAAATACAGTTAGTATAGTTCAGAGTAACACTTTTTTTACGGGCATTAACCCACCCGGGCACAGGTCATTTTTAATAACCTACATCAAGGCCTGGGAGGCGAAAGTAAAAAAATAATAATAATAATAATAATAATAATAATTAATAATAATAATAATAATAATAATAATAATAATAATAATAATAATAATAATAATAATAATAATAATAATAATAATAATAATAATAATAATAATAATAATAATAATAATAATAATAATAATAATAATAATAATAATAATAATAATAATAATAATAATAATAATAATAATAATAATAATAATAATAATAATAATAATAATAATAATAATAATAATAATAATAATAATAATAATAATAATAATAATAATAATAATAATAATAATAATAATAATAATAATAATAATAATAATAATAATAATAATAATAATAATAAAGAGCCATAAATAATATAAAATATCAAGAGTGAGAAATGATCTACTGTATGTATGTTGTGTTGTCACTAGTAAGAGAAACACTTGAAACACCGCAATTGTGTGTAAATGAGGCAGAAAGTCAGACCAGCAACCTGGAACTTGGTCACAATGTTTGTGATGCCATATGGCAGCAGGGTCTACCATTAGACATCACATTATGCTTTCAATACCTTCTCAGGCGGTAGTACCTCCCTGTTTGATAGCTGCCTACTGCCTATTAAAGGAAAAGAAATACACCCTGCAAATATACAGTCAACAAAAAAGTATCTGTACCCCTGCCGAGCGTGACAACCTGAAACATTGGGCGAAGACTTAAAAAAGTATTCCTGGTAATGATAGAGGTCTATTGTTGTTTGACCAGTGTATTACTAACCTTGTTACATGTTTAACGACCTTCGTTGTTGAAATGTGGTAATACCATTATAACAACAGCAGTGTTAATATAATTGAATTCCGCGATAATTCCAATACTATTTTGTCTCTACGTATAATGTATGTGATGTTACCTTGGTTGTGTAGAGAACATAAAAGGTTATTTAATATGTTTAAATGCATAATGGGTTACAGAATTTTATTAGATGAATTATATAAAGAAAAATGACTAGCTGGAGCATATGGTAAAGTTCACACACACACTTTTCTCACAAGACAAACCTTTTAGTTATAGTATAGTCAGCATAATCATGCTACAGGGTATTTCATTGATACCATCGATTAGATGAATAAAATCTCGACTTCATATTGATATCTTCTAACCCTAGACCAACAATACTGCTTCACGGTTGTCCTCTTGGTGACGGGGAACACGTATTCATTTCGTTATATTTTCACCAAACAATAATAATGATATCCTAATAACATCTCTTAATAAAACCATTCTATCTCTCATGTTAAATTTACTCTTAGTTTCTGATGGTTTTCTCCTATACACAATATTTATGAAATGGCAACTCATCTCGAGGTTTACAACAATCCTCCTACCGTGTTGCATAAACATGGATATTTAATCATCGTTAAAGTAATACATTATGCAAAAATACATAAAATATTAACTGTGGTATTGTTTTATAAACTATTATCACAAAACATTTGTACAACGAAGGATTTTTATAGTCAGAGGAACAGTTGAGGAATTGTGTTCCTACAACCCTGTGGTAACCCGTGTCTCCATGCCGCAACGTCGCAGTAGTAGTATCACTAAGTATGAATGCATGGGTATTGGTTGTGTAACGACGGACGTGATTGGTGGATAGGTTTGCTATAGGTATAGGTCATATAGGATGGCCGTTTGGAGACACTGGTTACCACAAGGGGTGTAGAAACACATTTCCACAACTGTAGCAATCTGTCCGATACATCAATCCGTCTGATGTTATTGTTCATGTTTTATTCTACCGGACGATGGGGTCTTGATACTTTTTGCTGACTGCACCGCTGTATAAGCACTTTATTTTTGTGTACGTGATGTAAATATTACACACAAACTGTATTCATGCAAATGTTGCATATCATTTCTTGATTTTGATATACATGAGCCTTTGAAACATAATGTTAGCACCCTCCTGCGGTCAAGCGGTGGGGAGAGGAGAAAAAAAATTCAACTTACTTTTGCTAATCTCCCCATAATCTTAACCCCCACACAACTGCTGTACAGCTGGTTTAGGCCGTCAAATACCAAACCTAAAAATTTATCACAAGTTTGTCCTGCAAATACAAAACAAAAATTGAAATAAATTATTCCCATTAGAATTTTAGCTTTACCAAATGCGTGAAATAAAAGTTGGATATGAAATTTCTTCTTTTATATTTTCATGTAAGTAAAATTATAATTTTTTTTCTGGTGATTCATGCCCAAACGAAGGCAATTTTATGCTTTAAACATTCAAATATTGTTTTAATGTATTATGATTAATTCATGTGACTTAGTCGTTTTATACATACGGATTTTGGTACGTAATATAAATTATCCTCAGAATGATCAGATTAAAAGTTATTTATAAGAAACTTGTGTTATTATGTTCTGTCAGTAAATTACAAGCTATGTTGAACTGTGTTAAAACCAGGCACTTGGTATTTGTAATTGATTTTATTTGTTATTTGTCAAGTAATTACTAATCAATTGTAACTGACTAAAAATTTAATATTTTAATTTCAGTTGTAATCTAAAACGTACAAAATGACAACATAACTGATACGAGATTTCGGTGAAACCACAAGACCTCAACAAGTACTGTACTGGTGTATATAAACTTGTTGTAGAGTTCTGTGAAACTGAACTGCGGGCAGTGATATTTTTTCTTACTACTGTACTGTGATTGTGTTGTTGCAAGGATGACGGATGAAGTGTAAGGCTTTCACCCAGCTGATCATAATGATATACTGTTGATAGACGTGATGCTGACACTACAGTTGTCCACATAAGTTAGCTGACTATAATAGCATGATCAGACAATAACAATAGTTTCCCATGTGTCCTGATGCACGTGTTCTACGTATATACTAAATCTAAGCTTATTTGTTTTATATATTTTTGAACCCGTCTTCATTAACATTAGAATCTAATGTTTTGGCCGCTTTTAGACAGCCAAAATGACCGTATTTCTTGATATTACTGAAGGATATTTTGTGTCAAGAGCAGAATCGGGGGGTGATGTTATAATGCATTACTGCGCGTCAACAACTAGCAACATAAAGCAATTATTCTAGATTAGTAGAATAAGTTACTTGGTGGGTTTTTAACTAACGCTCCTCCTTCTATTTCCTTTCTCCACCCACAGTACAACGCCATCCAAGAGTTCTGCAGTCGGACGCGCGCCTCCTGTCCTCCAGGCCCCGAGGGACCAGTAGGACCCAGAGGAGAATCCGGCCAGTCAGGCCAGGACGGAGACCGGGGCGATCGGGGCCTGCCTGGACAGACCGGGCCTCAAGGACCGCCCGGCCTGCCAGGGGTACCCGGACCATCTGGGATGAGAGGACCCAAGGGAGAGATTGGTCTGCCAGGTACGTGTGAAGTTAGAGATGGATCTGCCAGATACATGTGAGAGGAGAGATGGATGTGCCAGGTATGTGTGAGGGGAGAGATGGATCTGCCAGGTATGTGTGAGGGGAGAGATGGATCTGCCAGGTATGTGTGAGGTGAGAGATGGACACGTGCGCTGAGAGAGAAAGATAGATAATGACTGGAAATGGGAGATGAAAGCAGACAATAATATCAAGAGAAAAGATAAACAAAACAAAAATGAGACAGTTAGGCAAAGATAGAAATGAAATTTAGCTGAGAAAAATAAAACTACTAGAAGGGGGAGGAAACGTTATATATAAAGACCAACAGGTGTAGACAGACAGATAAATAATTATTAAACAGACAAACACAATGGATCACCGAAGAAAAATAAATGAGTTAATAAATGAAGAAGAATATTATAAAAATATTAAAAGAGGAAAATTTTTTACTGTGAAGCATAAGGACATCATAACATTGAAATACCAAGTAATGGCCGTCACATTTCCCTCCATTTACTAATAATTTAGGGAGACATTTTGTTACCAAAATTATGATGTGGTATATCTTGACTTTAGCAAAGCCTTCGATAGAGTCCCCCCCCACGAAAGACTAATTAGAAAGGTAGAAGCGCATGGCATCAAAGGTAATATCCTTAAATGGATTAGGGCGTGGTTACGGGACAGGAAACAGCGAGTGAGCATAAACGGCACTAAATCGCATTGAAGCAACGTCACTAGTGGAGTTCCCCAAGGCTCAGTACTTGGATCATTATTATTTATTATATACATTAACGACATAGATATCGGCATAGACAGCAACATAAGTAAATTTGCTGATGACACTAAAATAGGACGTGTAATTAAATCTGACGAGGACGCTGCAAAACTACAGGAAGATCTAAAAAAAAATTTCGAATGGTCAGAAAAATGGCAGATGAAATTCAATGTGGACAAATGTAAAGTACTCAGTATAGGAGATATAAACAGGGAAACCAGTTACCAGATGATCAACGATGCCATTGTGGAATCCGACTGCGAGAGAGATTTAGGAGTAATGATAAGTAGGAATCTTAAGCCAAGTAAACAATGTGTTTTTGCTCGTAACAAGGCTAATAAAGTACTTGGGTTCATACAAAGTAGTGTTAGTTACAAGACTAGCGAGGTCATCTTAAAATTATATCTAGCGCTTGTGAGACCTCACCTGGATTACGCAGTTCAGTTCTGGTCACCGTATTGCAGAATGGATATAGAATCATTGGAAAGAATCCAGAGGAGAATGACAAGACTAATCCCGGGCATTAGGAACCTTGAATACAGAGACAGGTTAAAGTATCTTAATTTGCACTCCCTCGAGAGACGCAGAGTGAGGGGCGACATGATAGAGGTGTATAAATGGAAGTCAGGGTTAAACAAAGGGGACATTACAAAGGTACTCAAACTATCCAACCAGGAGCGAACTCGTAACAATGGTTTTAAATTAGAAAAATTTTGATTTCGGCGTGAAATAGGTAAACACTGGTTTGGAAACAGAGTAGTGGATGAATGGAACAAGTTACCAAATATCATCATTAACTGGAATACACTGGATAGCTTCAAACATAGGTTGGATGCTTATATGAGCAATAGGGGTTGGGTATGAACGGGACTGCCCAGTATGGGTCAATAGGCCCGCTGCAGTTTCCTCCATTTTTATGTTCTCATGTTCTTATGTTCTTGTCTACAGTTTCATTGATTAAAACTTCCTTAAAGGTCAACACCGTCAACTCCTCTCCCATAATAGGTCTCTGTGTTACTATTGAGTTATTTCTAAAAAATAACAACATTTTGCTGATGTAGAAGGTAATTTTAACGCAAAACTTGTTTAAAAAAAAACGCCTGCCTAGTGCTTGATGTCTACACGGTTCCAATAAGATTCATTGTAATTAGAGTGACTAATAAAGTTGCTTCAGTATAATTACAAGTCAAAATTTGATTAAAACTTTATACTACTTCAATTTACATCGCAAAAAAAATAATATATTATAATAGGAAAATTATGCACGCTCAAAGTTGTGACCCTCTGACCCTCAACAACCGTGTTACTGAGTGTATCAGGGGTGAGGAACTTTTCATTGAAATCGTAAGGGTTCTTCAGGGCCACCTATTATTTTTAATGCTTTAATACTAAAAGTAATCTTTGCAGATTTAGTGGATATGGCCGCTACCCTAGAACATCATTCCAATGTAGTTCCGTTATTATAAGTTAGCCTTATAATAGTGTACTGTATAAAGGTACTCTAAATTTCATCAAAATGTATCAATAAATTCTATACCCCTCTGAGTCTTCTCTTAAAAGAGAAAGTAGAACTTACGTTGATTATGGTCGCCAGCCACCCTGAGATGCTCGGGGCCAAAAATGGGTCACAATTTCTCCATACCTGCTACTGGTATATAAAGTCCCTATACTTGTGTCATGTTGCCACGCAGAAATAGCCGAAAGGCGAAGTGGCTAGAAATACCCAAACCAAGACCAAGGTGTTGCCAGTTTTATTATTATGTAAAATTTACACTTTATTAAAAGTCTTGATATTTAGTAATAATATTATATGTAAATACTCGCTTTGCATCAGCTTCTTAATCTTCTCCTGCAGGTGTCCCGGGCCTGGATGGGCGGGATGGGCTTCCTGGTGAACCTGGCCTGGACGGCATCCCAGGGCGCAATGGGCTGAACGGTATCCCCGGTGTGGATGGCATCTGGGGCTCCAATGGTTTGCCGGGACGGGATGGTTTCAACGGTACTGACGGTAAGTTGACAAGCTATTGTTGTTGTTATACAGTTTGTATGTAGCTTCGTTAAACGAGTGACTTGAGGAGGCAAAACTATCCATACAGATACAGACACGAGGACTTATTGCCCAATACTAACAAGATATATTGCAATGTGTTGAAGCGTTGGAGGAACTTCTGGCACATATATAAGGGGCTTTGAAAATTGATGAAAAGCCTATATTTGGTGAGTAAGCAAAGCTAGTGCACATGCTATATTAGACCTCAAGATAGCACCCTAGGAGTTGACAAGGCCCATATTAGCACATATATATCGGTATATGCTGCGACTAGCAATGAAGAAACTGAAAACAGAGAATGGGGATCTGCCCAAGAGAGCTGCTCAGTGTCACTGCCTGTCTGAGAACGTAACTTGGACGTCATTCCTTTCCAAAACCCTACATCAGGAATAGCAGGGGGATTGAGCCGAAGGAAGGGAGGAATAAGTGCGTGCACTAGCTTCGCTCACTCACCAAAAATAGGCTTTTCAACAAGCTTCAAAGCCCCTATTTTAGGGAGTTGAGCTCTCTAGTGCACTTGCTAAATTCCACAGGAAGGAGGGTGCTAGGATGTAACGGGAGCAGTGAGCACACACAGGACCATTAGAATTTTATTTATTCTAGATTAAGCTACTTTAATATTTTTCTAGCCTGCTGTCTGTGGATCGAGGGGTGAGACCCATTGCTATGCAGGGTGCATCTGACAATTGATGAGACGGGTATTTTGCTATGAAGCAGGAGGCCAATTTCCACTGACCCCCTTCCCGGACCTGTGAGAAGGAGTGGGTCCTCAGGAAGGCCAGTGGAGCTGCTACACCCTGTACGTCGTAGGGAAGGGATGTGGTGCCTTCCCAAGGTCTGCCTCCTCTATAACCTGCTGCAATCTGTCTGCCAATCCTCTGGCTGACAGCGAGCGGCCCGACCGAAGATGAACGAAGAGATGATGCTGGCTGGTGGTGTGATCGGCCGTAATGAAGAGGTATTGGTGGAGGGTCCCGACCGGACAGAGTCGGTGAGGCCCGCCCTCTACCATGCCGGAACTGCTACTGGCTAAAGCCTGTGGTTCTCCTGCTCATTTTTCGCCAGGGAGGTGGGAGAAGGTGCCAGGGACACTGCAGAATCTCCTTGGGCGAAGGAGGTCCAGTGGTCGAACCTCGTGAGTGCCTTGAGTTGGGAGGACCTGAAGCCCGTGGCCAGCGCTACGAGGAAGAGGGCCTTCTGTAGTAGGCGGTCCTTTAACGGTCGGGTGGTGAATTGATCCTGGGGTGAGACAGATACCCAATTAACCCATGTCATGGTAAAACATTTATAGTAACAAGAACATAGGAAAAATAGACAGCATAAGGCCAGAGGCCCTCAGGCTAGGTTGTCAGTATAGTTCACAGGACTGAAGGAGTAGTAGTTACCGAGACCAAAAGAGTTAGGACTTTCTTCAAGGACCAGAAGGTCCGGGGTGGTCTAGCAGGTGGTCGCTGGTGGGATAGGTCCCGCTTCAGCAGGGTAACCGACTTGTTGTTAACCTTCACCCCGCACCCGTAATCCAGCGGGTCGATGAGGGCAGCCAGGTGGGTGGAGAGGGTTGGGATAGACATGCCTCGCTCGTGCGCTGGAGATGACAGGAACTCTAGAACTACACTTTCACTGGGCGTGGGAGATCCTTGCTCCTTGAGGTACTGCTGGAAGGCTTTCCAGCAGGACTCGTATTGTCGAGTAGTGAGGGTCTTAGTCCTGAAAAGATGTCCTCCACCACTCTAGGCGAATACAACCTGCTCGGGGAGGCACAGAGAAACTCCACATGTGTAAGTGAAGTGACCTCCTTAGCCTGGCAACGAGGGGATCGAAGGGGCAGGCGTTCCCAACATCAGTGGATGCGGACACCGGCTGAGTAGCTCTGATAACCATGGTTGAGCTGGCCAGTAGGGGGCCAGGAGGAGGACTTTCTCTTGAAGCTACAAAGCTTGTGGCAGACCCGTAGCAGGACCTTGGAGCAAGGGGGGCGGAAACACCTGTTCCAGTCCTCCATGAAGGCGTCTGGGTCCCCATGTGGTGTCGGCGTCAACTGACTCAAGTAAGCCGGAAGCTGAGCGGATGTATGAGAGGCAAAGAGGTCTACTTCCGGCCGACCCCACTGCTCTATCAGTAACTGAATCACACATGGACATAATGTCCACTCTACTAACGTCCCCTTGAAACGGAAGAGAGCTTCGGCCCAGCCGTTCTCGATTCCCGTGACATGGCGAGCAGGCAGGTCATGTGCCTCCTTGCAGATCTGCTCCAAGAATGACAGCAATTGGGCTGAGCGGGCCGTGCCCTGCCAGTTGAGGCAGAAAAACGGCTGCTGTGCTGACCATTTCGAAGCAGATGGCTTCGTCCAGGGTAGTCTGGTTGTCCTGAGTGGAGACAGGCGGATCCATAGCCAGGTGAGGCCTTGCCTGACGACCCTCGATGCCCAGCCACCGGAGGGCCAGGAGTCGTCCAAACCAGAAAGGAGGGCGAAGGTTGAAGGCTGAGGCATGTTCGAAAGCGAGTTTAGAAAGGACCTATAGATGCCGGATGCCGAATCTGGGTGGAGGGAGTTAGGGTTGTTGGCCAGTGCCTTCAACCAGGCGCCGAGTTGGGCCAGTCCTGCCGTAGTGGACAAGGTGAGGGCCGCCTTCTGCCTCTCCATGGCGTCCATGGTCAGGGTAGTCTCGGCTACCTGAGAGGCCTGCCATGGGAGAGAGGACTGGGTTAATTTCGAAGCTCACAAGAACTCCATCAACTCATCAACTCATTTGGCACCCGGTCATCCTGGGGGGATAAGACAACAGGGGCCGATGAGAGGAAGGTGATGTGACAGCTGTTCCTTCCAGCAACCGTCGTCCAGATCAACTGGAGATCCAGGCCCACCTTTTCCCGTGGAAAGAGAGCCTGACCTGCCGCCCAGGCACACCTCCTACCATCCTGTAGCGTACCTGCCATGGACAGCACGGAACAGGAAGACAGAGAGTCGAAGGCGTCCAGGGCCGCAATCGGTGACGTTCCTGACAGGGCTGGGACCATCTCTCTTCTCGACAGGCGGAGCTGTCGGAACTCGAAGTACTCCGAACCTAAGTCGTCTGCCAGTCGTCGGACCTCTAGGTCGGAATGGGGAGAGAGAACTAGGTCCTTCCTCCATTTTAGACTCGAAAAAAATTGCCAGTCTCCCCTGGTGTCAGTGCACAAACCAGTCCCGTGGGACCAGAGCCCAATTGTACGCCTCCTGGCTGATGATGTAATCAGGTGTCTTAAAAGAGAGGGGAGCGTCCGTAGGTGAGGGGAAGTTCCCTTATCCTGACGAAGGCCTGGGTCTTGTAAGGACTGGAGATGTTGCTGAGACCGGACCCTGGTCCGAGTCGGAGTAGTCAGGCATCCTCTGAGGACCCAGCCCTCCTTGGCTCGGAACCCGACTCCAAGAACACTGAAGGGTCCGGGGAGGGGGAGCGAGGGTGGGATCCCCATACCACAGGAGGTTGGTTGGAGGTGGCCTGGGCCTGCTACTGCTGAAGCTGCTGCGCCCAGAACCAGGAAGACAGAGCCTCCAGCATCTCCAGAGGCAAGGCTGGGAGGGTGGGTGCAGTGACCCCGGAGGGGGGGAGGGGCAGCATCTCCGGCTGCGACGTTTGGGCGGCTGGGGCAGGCCTAGATGGAGCGATGGAGGCGTTAGAGGGGCCATCCCCCCGGCGGCGCCGTGAAGGGTCTCCTAGCCCTGGGGAGGTGGGGGTGTATCTTCTCCTGACAAAGGCCTGGGCCTTGTAGGGGCTGGAGAGGTTGCGGAGACCAACTCCTGGTCCGAGTCTGAGTAATCAGGCAGCCCCTGTGAGGACCTGGCCTCCTCGTCTCGGAACTGGACTACAAGAACATTAATGGATCTGGAAAGGGGGGCCGAGGGCGGGATCTCTGTGCCACAGGATGTTGGGTGGCGGGGGCCTGGGCCTACTGCTGCTGCAGCTGCTGCATCCTAAACCAGGAAGAATTAGCAGGACTCCCCGAGCGGTGACGGTGGCGACAGGAGGAGGAGTGAACACTCTACTCCCGGAAGGGCAAGGGGGTTGAGTTGTGGAGAGCCCGAAGCCCCAGGGCAGGGAGAGATGGGCTCCCAGTGGCCGACTGGGAAGCTGGAGGAGGGAAGCTTGGCCTGGGTCGTCGGTAGAATGGTCTCTACCCGAGGGGCCTAGATGGTGGCACATTCTCAACCGAGAACAAATATCCTGGTCCCTTCAGGAGATGGGGGAGCCCCGGTGTCTGGCGGAACTGGAGGCTGCCGCCCAGCGGTGCCCTAAATTTTGCCAGAAAATGTGGGAAGTGTCCACATCTCCGTCGGCGTTGCGGAGAAGCTCTGCCACCCATCAGAGCACACCGTACAGCAACTCTAGTTGAACTTATTATCATCCACGCATTGGGCGTGGGTTTAACAGGCGGAGTGGCCATCCTGTTTGAACCTGACCGAACACCTCTGGGCCGAGCAGGGCACCTTCTGGAGTTGGGGATGAAAAAACAAGCAGGAGAAAACAGTGGAGCAGGGAAGAAGAAGGGACTACAGACGTCTCTCTCTGCCACCAAAACCCTGAGCCAGAACAATGAAACCGAGTAACAAATCGGTGCGTGGGCCTGGACAAGAGAAAACGCAAATAGAGGGCCACCCATGTGGGGGGAAAAAAAACAACAAATCGACGCCCTTGGCGTGAATCACCACACAAGAAGAAAAAAGGGGGGGAGATAAAACATGCAAACAGGGAAAAGCAAAAAGCCTGAAAATGGCCGAAGCCAAGAGGGCGCAAAACAACACTCCTCCACCTAAATAACTAAGAAAATAAATCATTCTGGGAAACTGCTGACTAAAAAATGCACAGATAGTGCGAAGTACAGACACAAACCAAAAAGAGAAGAATAAAACCGAGGCAGGAGAAGAGTCTGGGACGTCTACCTACAGCAGTGAGGCCAGAAAGAACGACATCTGAGTTATGTTCCTATACAGGCAGTGACACTGCGGAGCTCTCTTGCGCAGATTCCCATTCTCTGCTTCCAGTTTCTTCATTGCTAGTGACAACCTATACTGATATAGATATGTTAATATTGGCCTTGTCACCTCCTAGGGTGATACCTTGAGGTCTAATATAGCAAGTGCGCTAGCAAGCTCAACTCGCCAAAAATTTGTTTTAGAGACCCGGGCACTGACGATGGCTGATGTTCATGACAAGACACCTTCATTATCAAGAATAAACCGGCAAATGTACTGGTACAAAAAGGTGAAGCAATTGACCCCATTATCGCTTACTGCTGGGTGGCTGTTCCATATTTAATGTTCGATATTTGGTAATAGGAAACATCTTGAAATAAATCTTCTATCATCATAATGTGTAATTGTAAGTCATTTTCAGATAAGATAGAAAATGCTTGTTACTTTTCTTTTATGCAGGAATTTATTGTCATTTTTTTTTATTTCCAAATATTGAACATCAACCAAGTTTTGGTGATTGCTCGGAATATCTTAACACGCCTCCTCTGTAGTCACAAACGCATGAGGACACTGTTTAAGAGACAAGTTCAGGAGAATGGCAATGTTATAGACGTGGATTAAGACAGACATGAGCTTTTAGTTTAAGTAGGCTTATGGACAAAAAGGAAGGCCGCCTTAATGTACAGTTGCCTCCATAGGAACGTAAAGTATCACAGCTCGGGGTAGGAGATGTGACAGGGCAACGCCTTAGTCAGGGCTGAATGCATGGGAGTGAAACAGTGAAATTCCCTGTTTTTTTTATAAGATACACACAATATAGGAGGTAAAAAGATAAACAAACCCTGTATTACCAGTTATGCACCATTATTGTGTAACCCGCAAACAGGGTAGTACACCGTTTTACGCCCATGACTAAAGAGCTGCCGTGCCACGTCTCGTACCAGAGCCCACACACACTCCCAGGCCATGGCACGTTCATGTGGGGGCAACTGTACTTTAACGTAACGAATCTTTTCAAAGGGTGTAATTATGCAAATGAAGAGCATATAATATTCATAACAAATTAAGTTAAGAAAGGAGAGATCCAGATATCCTATTCATCACATTTTTCCCTTCCCCCTAACTCTCAGACTAGATCTGTTTCTAGAGCTGATATCATTTCATCTATCAATGCGGATCTGTGCAGCATCTCCGAATGGGGAGGTAGAAACTTGGTTGAACTCATTACTAATAAATCTCAGTATTTACCAATTACACTTTCCAAATTAGGTGATCTCCCACCAATCACATTTCAGGACGCAATCATTCTGCCAAATTCTAAAATAGATATGCTAGGTCTTACCACTTCCTCTAATATGTCATGGAAGCCACACATCCACAACATTGCTAAAGCTGCCTCCCTAAAGCTGGGAATGCTGTACAGATGCCGTAGCTACTTCACTCCTGAGCAGTTGTTTCAAGTTTATAAGGGATTCAATCGTCTTAACTTGGAGTTTGCGGATGACACCAAAATAGGGCGGCAGATTAATTCAGGGCAGGATGCAAATGCATTACAGGAGGATCTAAATAAACTGCAGGGGTGGTCTGAAAAATGGCAAATGAAATTCAACACCAGCAAGTGCAGCGTACTTAATATTGCAAGAACAAATACTGTCAATGTATACAGCCTTAACAACATCAACCAAGAGAAGTCGACTTGTGAAAGAGACGTAGGGTTACTTGTAAGCCCGGACCTATGGCCTAGAAAACAGTGCGTTAATGTTCGAAATAAGGCAAACAGAGCATTGGGTTTTATATCTAGAAGTGTAAGTAATAAGAGTGCAGAGGTCTTATTGCAACTATATCTTGCGCTAGTCAGGCCGCACCTCGATTATGCGGTTCAGTTCTGGTGCCCTTATTATAGAATGGCTATCAATTCACTAGAGTCGGTGCAGCGAAGAATGACGAAAATGATTCCGGAACTTAGAAACCTTCCATATCAGGATAGGTTAAAGAAACTAAACTTGCACTCCCTAGAAAGACGAAGAGTGCGGGGAGACATGATAGAAGTATTTAAGTGGGTGAAAGGAATCAATAAAGGGGATATAGATAAAGTTCTTATAATATCCGAGCAGGATAGGACTCGGAGCAACGGATTTAAGTTTAGGGGGGAGATAGGAAGAAACTGGTTCACAAATAGGGTGGTGGACGAGTGGAACAAGCTTAGCAACTTTGTAGTAAGTGCTGGTACGCTGGAAAGTTTCAAAAGGAGGCTAGATTGATTCATGGATGATAGAGAGTGGTAGTAACTCTCGACAGGAGCTGCCATGCACAGGCCAACCGGCTTATTGCAGACTCCTTATTTTCCTATGTTCTTATGTTCTTATATCTGGGGTGGCTCTTCTTTTGTCCAACTGTAAGATAGGGTGGAATCAAAGGCATTTCGTGTTATTGACAACTCCTCCTTTAGTTGATAATCTTTCTTCCCTTTCTCTTCGCCGCAATGTTGCTTCACTTTATTTTACAGGTACTTTAACGGGCAATGTTCGGTGCACTTGGCATCCTGTGTACCGCCGGCAAGGCCGTGGGCTCGTAACACTCGTCTTGCCGTCGGTGCCCACCGTTTCTCTGTGGATGTCGGTCACACTAGAATAACCCGTTATAGTACATCCTTCGCGCCTCACACAGCCAACCTGTGAAATGCTCTGCCTTCTTCTAGGTTTCCATACTCATACAATCTGTCTCACTTTAAAAAGCTGGTTTTCCGGCATCTTCGTGGTGTCGATTAATATAATCTTTTTCTTTTATATTTACAATTTCATTTTACTCTTATTTTTTCGCCCCCTAGGCCCCGTTGTGGATCGATGACTTGTGCCCGGGTGGGCTATTCCCTGTAAAAAAAAAGCGCAAATATTTAATTTAGTCTAATAAAATCTGTCTTTTGGTGACCTAAACATGCTTTATATTGAGTTGTGCTCATCCCCGAGATCTTTCTGACCCATACACGTAACTTAAGGAAAAAAACAATACTTTACTCGAGACGAAACCAAAATCATCACCGAGAAATAATTCGTCTATGAAAAGAAAACAGTAAAGAAAAAACATTGGAACTCAATGTTATTGTTTGATACTCCCATATCTTACCTGCCAATCATATGCCATTATACAGCAAGAGAATAAAAGAAAGTGCTCGAAGTCATTATGCCAGAAAGCCTCCCTGGCAGCGGGTGGTTCGTGTATGACCCATCCACAGTCGCCTCACATTACTGAGTATTGTTTGTTATAGTAAACACAGAGGTCTACACTTATACCTTATGCGACGCCGAGTAGAACGACGTAGTATAAGGAATTAGTGACCTAATTTAACAAAATTACCGTACGTAGGTCAAGTAAGTTTATTACTGTCGCAAAAATTTATGGAATAATACAGCTAATATTCCTCTCCTCCACAGGGACCCCAGGTGCCAAAGGCGAGCGAGGACCGCGAGGCTTTCAGGGCATGAGAGGTGAGTCTTCCTCGTACTCCTCCTCCTCTTCCACCCCCACACCTGTCACAACCACACCTGCCTCCACCACACCTGCCACCACCACACCTGCCACCACCACACCTGCCACCACCACACCTGCCACCACCACACCTGCCACCACCACACCTGGCCCACCACCACACCTGCCACACCTGCCTCCACCACACCTGCAACCACCACACCTGCCACCACCACACCTGCCACCACCACACCTGCCACCCCACACCTGTCACAACCACACCTGCCTCCACCCACCCACACCTGCCACCACCACACCTGCCACCACCACACCTGCACCACCACCACCACACCTGCCACCACCACACCTGCCACCACCACACCTGCCACACCTTCCACCACCATCCACCACCACCTGCCACCACCACACCTGCTGCACATCACCACACCTGCCACCTGCCACCACCACACCTGCCACAACCACACCCACCACCCACACACCTCACCTGCCACCACCCACCTGCCACAACCACACCTGACACCACCACATCAGCCACCACTACATCTGCCACCACTACACCTGCCACACCAACCTGTCACCACACCTGCTACACCTGCCACCACCTGTCACAACCGCACCTGTCACCACCACACCTACTACCACCACACCTGCTACCACACCTGGCACCACCACATCTGCTATCACCACACCTGCCACTACTACTACACTTGCCACTGACACACGCCCTGCCACCTGTCACTGCCACACCTGCCACTGCCACACCTACCACCACTACACCTGCCTGCCACCACCACACCTGCCACTACCACATTTGTCACTACCACACCTGCCACCACACACACCTGCTACCACCACACCTGCTATTACCCACCTGCCACCACTTCCTTGCCAACACCACACTTGCCACCACCACCTACCACCACTACACCTACCACCACTACACCTGCACCACCACACCTACCACCATCACACCTGCCACCACCACACCTGCCACCACCACAACCTGTCACCACACACCGTCTCCACCCACATCACCATTATTCACATATGTAACAGGTCGTCACACCCACACACCTACAACACCCCTCCACCCACCTACAGCACCCACCTCTACCCACCTACAGCCCCACCTCCAACTACAACACCCACCTCTACCCACCTACAACACCCACCTCTACCCACCTACAACACCCACCTATACCCACCTACAACACCCACCTCTACACAGCTACAACACCCACCTCTATCCAGCTACAACTCCCACCTCTACCCACCTACAACACCCACCTATACCCACCTACAACACCCGCCTCTACCCAGCTACAACACCCACCTTTACCCAGTTACAACACCCTCCTCTACCCAGCTACAACACCCACCTCACACCAACCCACACACCACCACCAGCCACTGCTACCTGACCCATCTTGGAGAAGGACGTGCCCCCAAGTTCTCCCGTAGTGACCAAGGAAAATGGCCGCCTTGGATCGTTGTGTCTTGGGGGAAGAGGAGAGTAGTGTGGGGAAAGACGACCTCTTGGCCACTCTGCTAAGGCAGCTGGGGCAGTTGAGGAGTGAGGTTGACACTCTAAAGGCGGAAAATGAAGCCCTCAGGACTGAACTCCTTCAGGTAGGTGTCCTGCCTAGCAGGACACCTGCGAAGGAGGAGCAGGCGTGGAGAGTGGTTGTCTCCAAGGGGATTAGGGTCAGGCTCAGGAAAGCTGACCAGGGTGTGGAATGTAGGAACCCCTATCAGGTGCTAGAGGAAGCAGGCGAGGAAGAGAAGAGGCAGGAAAGTGTGGTGCAGGTGGAGGAAAGGGCAGTTGTACAAACCCTGCCCAGAGGTAAGGTCGTGGTAGTTGGGGACAGCCAGGTGAGGTTTTTAGGTAGGACTTTTTGTACAAGAGATAGGAAACGTAGGACTAGGGTGTGTTTTCCTGGGGATGGGATAGGGCATGTAGCTGAGAGGTTAGACTGGGTTTTGTCAGGGGAGGGTACCAATCCAGTAGTGTGTCTTAGTGTGGGAGGAAACGACATAGGAAAGGTTAGGAGTGAGGAACTTTTCAAGAGGTATAGGGAGACGCTGAGGAAGATTAGAGATAGGGGAGGGATCCCGATAGTATGTGGTGTCTTGCCTAGAAGAGGGATTGGTCGTGAATGGCTGTCCAGGGCAATTGCTATAAATTGCCGACTGGAAAAACATTGTGCAAACAATGGTTGGGCATGAATTGATAGCTGGCAACGATTCTATGGCAACGACTACCTGTACAGTCGTGACGGAGTACACTTGTCTCGTGCGGGGGTAAAGACGTTGTCTGCATCCCTAGAGCGTGAAATTGTCACTCCAAAGGGGGGGGGGGGTTCGCCAGTAGAGAGATGTCGGGGTGAGTGGGAGTCAAAAAACAAGCAGGTCCTGGGAAGTAAAATTAGTTACTCAGGACAAGGGGTAAAACAGGACCAGGGAAGGGTAGGTTTAAATGTATACTATACAAACAGTAGGAGCGTTAGAAATAAAATAGACTTGCTGAGAGCGGTTGTATGTACCGAGAATGTAGACGTCATAGCAATCACCGAAACTTGGATGAATCTGGCAAGCAAAATTTTTTTATCAGAGTACCACATAGAAGGGTACAACCTTTTTCACAAGGACAGGGAAGGTAGGAAGGGGGGAGGAGTCGCACTCTTCGTCAAGGATACATTAAAATGCTGTATTAATAATTCAATAAAGGGTGAAATGGGAACCGAGTCTGTATGGGCAGAAATCACGGAAGGAAGAGAAAAACTAATTATGGGAGTGATTTACAGGCCCCCAAGTCAGGGCAAAGAAGCAGCTCAGCCCATGTAGCAGGAAATGAGTAGGGCAGCAAAATATAACAACCTATGCATTATGGGGGATTTCAACTTCAGAAATATTGACTGGGACAACATTGTAGGTGACTATGAATCTGAAGACTTCCCAGACGCAGTACAGGACAATTTTTTGAAACAACTAATTACAGAACCTACTAGAGGTGACAATATATTAGACCTAGTATTAACAAATAAAGAAAATATAATCAGAGATATCACAGTAGGGGAAGAACTAGGTAACAGTGATCACAGAGAAATCAGGTTCACCCTAAATTGGGAAACAAAAAACAATGACAATATGGTCAGTCCCAAACTTTCGGTTGGCGGATTATCAGGGATTAAGAAGGTACCTAGGTGAGGTCACCTGGGAACAGTCACGTCAGTCCCCAGTAGGAAGGGGTGAGGTCATAGATGACACAACAATTGGTCATGACTATAATATATTCACTAGTATACTACATAAAGCACAAGAACAAAATATACCATAAAGAAAAATTGGGTCAAATAAGAATGAGCCAAGGTGGATGACCAGAAAACTTAAACATGACATAGGAATAAAGAAAGGAATCTATAAGAAATTAAAGGGAGGGGAGGAGCAGCTCAGAAATAGGTATAATGAACTATCTAGGAATGTTAAGAAAAATGTAATGAAGGCAAAGAGAGACTATGAAGTCAAAATAGCAAGAGAATCCAAGGCGAATCCCAAGGGATTTTTCCAGGTATATAGAACAAAAGTCAAGGACAAAGTTGGGCCTTTAAAGTCAGGGAGGGGAGAAGTGATAAATGGCAGTGAAGAATAAGCAAAGCATTGAACAACTACTTCTTATCAGTTTTCACAAAAGAAATTTGCGAGGAAATTCCAGAGGTGGAACTGATATTTAGGGGAAAGGAAGAAGAGAAATTACAGAATATCACTATCAGAAAAGAGGATGTTCTTAAGAGGATAAATAAACTAAAGACAAAATCCCCAGGGCAGGATGAAATTTTCCCTCGAGTCTTGAAAGAGTGTAGGGAATAGATTAGCGGACCCTCTGTAAATTTATTTACAAAATCATTAGACACCGGAGTTGTGCCAGACTTGTGGAAACAAGCAAATGTAGTACCCATATTCAAAAAGGGAGACAAAGCATCAGCATCAAATTACCGGCCGATCAGTTTGACGTCAGTAGTGGGGAAATTTCTTGAATCAATTATAGCAGATAGTATCCAATCGCATCTAGAGAAAAGCAAATTAATCTACGACTCGCAACATGGGTTTACAAAGCGAAAATCTTGTCTAACAAATCTGCTGACGTTTTTTAGGAAAGTCTTCGAGGTAGTAGATAATGACGAAAATTATGATGTTATTTACTTAGACTTTAGCAAAGCATTTGACAGAGTACCGCATCAGAGGCTTCTGAGAAAAATTAAGGCTCATGGTATCTAGGGGAAAGTTTTAAATTGGATAAAATCATGGCTCACCGATAGAACGCAGAGGGTCAGCGTAGATGGTATTAAATCTGAGTGGGGCCGTGTAACCAGTGGGGTTCCCCAGGGGTCAGTACTAGGCCCACTCTTGTTCATAATCTACATAAACGATCTAGATACTGGGATCAGCAGTGACATAAGCAAGTTTGCGGATGACACCAAAATTGGGCGGCAGATTAATTCAGGGCAGGATGCAAATGCATTTCAGGAGGATCTAAATAAACTGCAGGGGTGGTCTGAAAAATGGCAAATGAATTCAACACCAGCAAGTGCAGCGTACTTAATATTGGAAGAACAAATACTGACAATGTATACAGCCTTAACAACATCAACCTAGAGAAGTCGACTTGTGAAAGAGACCTAGGGGTACTTGTAAGCCCGGACCTACGGCCTAGAAAACAGTGCGTTAATGGTCGAAATAAGGCAAACAGAGTATTGTGTTTTATATCTAGAAGTGTAAGTAATAAAAGTGCAGAGGTCTTATTGCAACTATATCTTGCGCTATTCAGGCCGCACCTCGATTATGCGGTTCAGTTCTGGTGCCCTTATTATAGAATGAATATCAATTCACAAGAGTCGGTGCGGCAAAGAATGACGAAAATGATTCCGGGAATTAGAAATCTTCCGTATCAGGATAGGTTAAAGAAACTTAACTTGCATTCCCTAGAAAGACGAAGAGTGCGGGGAGATATGATAGAAGTATTTACGTGGGTGAAAGGAATCAATAAAGGGGATATAGATAAAGTTCTTATAATATCCGAGCAGGATAGGACTCGGAGCAACGGATTTAAGTTGGATAAGTTTAGGTTTAGGAGGGAGATTGGAAGAAACTGGTTCACAAATAGGGTGGTGGACGAGTGGAACAAGCTTAGCAACTGTGTAGTAAGTGCTGGAACTCTGGAAAGTTTCAAAAGGAGGCTAGATAGATTCATGGATGGTAGAGAGTGGTAGTAACTCTCGACAGGAGCTGCCATGCACAGGCCAACCGGCCTATTGCAGACTCCTTATGTTCTTATGTTATGTTTTCTACCCAGCTACAACACCCACCTCTACCCACCTACAACACCCACCTCTACCCAGCTACAACACCCATCTGTACCCACCTACAACACCCACCTACAACACCCACCTACAACACCCACCTCCAGCACCTACAGTAGGACCATTATAGAATCAGGTCTCATTAAACATGAATTTGAGTAATGGTATGTACAAACTGGATAATTTCGTAATTAAGAAGATTTGTAACCAGGTGAAAAAGTTGGGTCATCTTATCCTCTGACCTGACTACCGACTGCTGCGGTGCTTTTTGAAGATTAGTAGAGTCACTACCTAATACCTGACCATTGTGGACTTGACTTCACCCTCCTCCATATATAACAAAGTCTAGGAATGCTTTTAGTATCCTGGTGGTCCAGCGGTTAGCGTTCCCCGGTCACAGTCATGGTCTAGTGGGCCGTGGGTTCGAATCCTGGCGGATTGAGGTGTTGATTGTATTTTGAAGTCCGCGTGCTTTTGGGCTAATGAAATATACAGTATATATATATATATATATATCGGTGGAATATTCTCACCTTGCCTGAGCAGAATTTAAAGTAATGAATTAATATGTATGTGTTATGGCCAAAAAATTTATTTGTGTTTAAATTTACTTTCATTTCCATTCCCATTTCCGTAATGAAAAGATATAATTTTGATGTGAAATTTTAAACTGCATTCACAAGTGCGAAAAATTTCTCGAAAACACGAGTATTGAGGTTAACTGAAGGTCTTCCTGTTAATTTAGTTGGTATAGTTTTTGTTTATTTTCGCATTTCAATATTACCGTTTTTTGAATGAATATAATTATGGAGTATTAAAGCTTGACAATTTTAGAGAGACAGCGTCAGGGCAAGAGAGAACTTTATGTAAGTGTCGGGGCTAGACCGTCCGGACAGCATGTAAATAGTCGAAAAATCGTCCAGCTAGCGTATCTCTTCAAAAGTATTTCGACTATTTCCTCATGCTGCCATGCATATATGTTTTACGTTTCATGTTTTCCTGGAATAAAATATAATGTTATTAAACTGTCTATATGGAGTTTCGGTATAAAGTTGATCTTTTTGTAGACATTGGTGTGGGTGGTACATGCCCGCAAATCATCCCTCGATGCTCAAGTAATATACGGAATTAACGAAGCAAAACCCGAGGAGAGTTTAAAAAATAAAATAAATGTGAACTGATTGTCCTTACAAGTGATATTGTTCACTAACCCGAATGATGGAAACAATTGCTGAATGTCAGAGATGTTCAAATCCGTAGATGATAATTCTCGGTGGAATATTCTCACCTTGCATGAACAGAATATATTTATATTGATGACTGAATCTCCATATTTAATAGGAAGTATTATGGAAGCCTTGTAGCCAGCACTTATTTTAATAACGTAAGGTAGACGACTAATGCCACGGGGCTGGTGACGTTCTTTATTTAGCACCTGTAGCGTTTGATTAACAGGTGTGAAATATTTGTAGCTTAACATGATAGAACACAGTAAAGAGATGATGCATGATTACACTACAAAATGACTCCAGAATTAACCACATCACATCATCCCCGCCTGACAACTGATCTCTCAGCCTTGTGAAGAGTTTTACCTGTTTGACTCACCTGAGAACAACAACTGGTGGAATGATGATGATGATGCTAATGATTACCTGTTCGGGAATATTCAGTGCGAAAAGTAATTAAATTTTTTTTCTTTTATCAGTAGCGAAGACATCAAACTAGAACTCCCGATATTATTGTTCTTATCATCATAATCATCTTCATTGTTGTTGTTGTTCCCGCAACACCTTAGAAACACACCCAAAATAAATTTCCATTGTGCACTAAATAAATCACCGTAAACCTTTTTTGAAGTGTACAAACTGAACCTTATATACACCCTTGTACACAGCACATAGAGCATTTCCTTTATGACGTCTGCAATCTACCACGTACAGTTTCATGTGCATCATGTTCAGTGTACAACCAGACAAAATCAACATCACACTACCAACACGGTACAATATAAAACATGCATATACGTATAATACATTTGTTCACAATACAATACATTGTACAACATGCATATTGCAATACACTATATGCACTATTGATCATGCTATTTTAAGTGTACACCCCATTGGCCGTGCTGTGTTGTGTACTCCCCATTCACCCGTAGTGTGTTAAATGTACACCCAACTCACCTGTACAGTGTAAATGAAGGTCCCAGATCACGTACCCTCCCTGCGGCAGTATAATAAAAAGGCGGACATAGCACTAGTACTACACAAAAGGTCTAGTTGTCTCGGCTCACTGCATATCTTCCAAGGTCTCGTCACCGTGAAGGTAATCACCAGATAATATGACAATACCTTTAACCAGTACAAGTGATTCTTCTTATAATTATCGTCTTTTGTGTTTAGCTTAGTTATTCATCATTTATTTTACCATCCAAAATATGATCAACAGTATGGAAGATAATTCTTAATGAAGGTTTATAAGGTATATATTAGTAAAGCGACTTAATTTCATGCAATTGAATCATAATTTCAATAAAAAAATAACTTAATAAAAAATCACTATCATAAAAAAAAGGTCTTGAACAAAGAGTAAGTCAACTACATTACTCTCGTTATCATAGGATACGCACGGACTGATCAGTATTGAATATTCTTATAAGGAAAAGAGTTCGGGTCAAAATCGGGTATATCTTTAGTTCATCATTATTCTTTCACCCAGGTGTAGTTAAAACTTGTATACTAATTTGGTTAATCTTATATTTCCCACAGCTGAGTCACGTATACTAATCGTCTAAAATACTTACTGTAGCGTCGACGTCTACGTTGTTCTTTAATTACTTTTTCAGCGCTGATTTCTACACCTCACTTGTATCACATAATAGCTGCTGTGTGTTGCTGTTCACTAGTTTTATTTCTTCGGCACTACATCTTTAATGGTCGTGCTGGTCAACGCTGGTAATGGCTAGTGTAAGATGACGAAGACTGTATACCGGAACATAGAAACATCAGCGTTGTTTTGATCTCACCGTTGTACGTAACTCTCATTTTTTTGACAGTTCAAGTAAGTTAAGACGCTTAACACACAGACAGACATGATGTAAGAGTTCCTGGGGGTTGAGGAGTCTTTGGCGACCACAGTTTATTCCAGTTATTGTAGGCACCATGGTCTTAGATGACATCCCTTCCTTACACACGACACTACAGCTCATACTGAAACATACTACTGGCATAATACCGCAGACTCTCCTTGATAAACTGGAGCTGTTGCCTGTATAAATACTGTACTAAGGGGAAGAAACAGAGATTTCCCTGATTGAATGTGAGCTGGCGATGGCTGAAGTCACCCTGACCTATACTGATTGATATGTTCCAAGCTTATAAGACGTGACAACCACACACTCACACAGTAGGGCGCACACCTCTAATGCTAGAGTGTGCATTAGAAATAGAAGGGTGTACAATATACATATAACAGTGTATACGGAGGTGTAGGGTGTGGAGGGCGGGTAATACTAGAGAGGACAGATAGGGTGCTGCCTCACAACACCACGACCCTCACAGCCCAGACCACCTACGCGGGGAAGACATCAACGGAGGGCGACCCCACGCCTGGTGGCCCCGGAGTCTGCCCGCACTACAACAACCCAACCCGCGACCCATCTATGTCCGCCACAACAATCCACCTTAGATTAAAACTTAGATGATATAAGTTCACCTTTAATAAGTTACAATCTAGTGAGTCCATAACGTAGTACGTATAAGATTTTAATAAACATGTAATTGTAAATCAAACAAGTCATTGTCAACCAAAGTAACCATTGTGCAACCTCATCCTAAATCCTCGGTCAGCTTAGCCAACAAACTCTGTAAAATGTAAAACAAGGGGTGTCGTCCCCCTCTGTTTAACCCATTAAACATCTTTTCCAACCTTTCCCCCACGACTATCTGTCGTGACTTCTCTATCCTTCATGTCTGGCTGTGCCTCGAGCCACAGCATGCCTTCCATCCTTTCCCCACCTTAACAAAAAAAAAAAAACGCCGTGTACACCCTATAATTAACACTGTGAGGATACATAACTCACTTCTTGTAGGGGTCACTGGTTTGCTCCGGTCCTAGTTCACCTAGCTGCCGATGAATATTTGAAGTTACAGTTTGGGAAGTAAAAGGGGGTCGAGCTCAGTACCGGCCGCACTGTTCCTTGTGCCAATGGCTTAGTGTTAAACCATCGCAATGAAAGTGTTAAACCATCATCCTCAAATGATTAAAAAAAGAGGGTTTCTCTCTTTTAATTACATTGTTAACAGATGAGAGTATAAGCCGTAAGACCACTGTATACTCAAGACTACCAGGGAAGAAAAAATAGTGCCTTGACGCTGTCGTGTGATGTCAACGCATCTGCAGGCATTGCTTCTGAAAGATGTGTTTACGCAGGTATTACAAGAAATTGACCTCCCGTGTTCTGTTTCTCACTCCCAGATAAGAGTCGTGGTGGGAGTGACGGATAGTTTGAAATTCTAATCTTAATTTAGGTATTCTGATTCACGTGAGCAGATCATGAGGTTAGGTAAAGTTGAGCGGGTGATTCACGACACTGACACAGGCAACACGCTGGCTGGTGCACGGCTCGCTGGATAACGTTGTGGATGTATCGTGTTGACTTCTGTTAAAACTGAGTTGATAAAACCTGAACCGTGACCACCTAGACAAACAGTTATTCGTCTGTTTGTTATTTGAGGAGGCTCGTCGTTTACTTTTGTTAACTGCTCATGTTTGCTGTTCCCGTTTACTTTAGATTTACGATGGCCTCTCACTATGTACAGTATTTTTTCATTTATTTTTTTTAGTCCACCGGAATCTCATTGAGCCAAATTTGTTTGTATATATAACGTTTTTTGGCGGATTCCCCAAATTTGACCTATTCTGAACATAAATTTGTCGGTGCCGGATTGAAACTCTTGGGGATTTTTTTATTTGCGAAAAACAAAATGGTCGCCATCGGCCCCCAGAAAATTCTAAAATTGGCCCAAATTTTGTTAAAACTGTACCTAAAGACAGTTTCTTTTGGACGAGTTTCTGTCGGCAATATTGAATTTAAAATGGGCTCCTTCGGCACTCTGAAAATCCTACGTTCGATTATAACTTCACTAATATCACACTCGGTGACAAGGAACCTCATGAAACTGTCTCAAATGGGCTAGCCGAAGTCCCGAGACCTGAACATCTAGGATGTGCTAAGGTATGAGCTGTGTCCAATCCCTGCTGCCCTGTTTGATGAACATGGCATGATGAGGATGCAGGCTAATCTTCACTAAAAAGGAAACTGCAGGCAAATATATCAAGCAGACTCATTGGAGACCACCGGATGCAGTAATCATTGATGACTGTGCACTTCTGTGGACTGTTCATTGGCCAGCGAGTGGTAGTGTGGTAGACTACCTGAATAGCTTCTCCTCAAGCATTGTGTATCATCTCAGAACCAGTGATGTTTACTTGATCTTCGACAGGTAGTATCCAGATCGTGCCAAAAAGCTGATGAGACCACAAAGAGCTGGAGCCGATCGAGAACATTAGTTGCCTACGAGTACTCCACTGCCAGAGCAGAAAGTAATTCTTGGTGTGCCATACAACAGATGTCAGTTCATTGATCTAATATGTAACCATCTTCTGAGCAATCGTGAACAACTTTCTGGTGTCAACAGAGTGGTCATTACAGGGAAAGATCCTGTTCCACTTCAGCTGCAATCTAACATGGTCACCCCAAGAGATGACTTGAGAACCACACTGGAAGAGGCGGACGTCATGATTGTGCAACAATTGGTGAAACTTGCTTCATGTGGTGATGCCAATATCAAAGTCATTTGTGATGGCAGATGTATCTGTGTTGTTAGTCCACTTCTTCGATAAACTGGAGTTGTCCTGCAATGTCATCATGGAGAGTCCGGTCCAAGACAGAACTGCCATTGACATAATGGCCACGGCTCAACAACACAGTGGCATTGCTAAACATCTCTTAGCTGGTCACGCACTGACAGGAGCGACATAGTCTCATATTTGTATGGGCTAGGAAAAAGCAAACCATGGTGAAAGTACTAGAGAGGACATCCATTGTAGTTATTGACCAGCTAGACAGTAACATGGATGAAATCATCACAGAGGCATGACAGTTCATCACAGCTTGTTGGCTGTAAGCCACAAGATAACATGTCTGATACCCGATATGCAGTGTGGATCAGTAAGATGGCAAATGTGAAAGCATCTGCCACACCCTTCCCAGGTCACTACCGCCAACGACAGAAGTCTTCACAGAACATGTATACCGTGCACAATATCAAGCTGCCTTTTTTGGTTGTCTGCCATATTTCCCAACCCACCAGATATTGACCCACTTCACTATGGATGGGTCCGTGGTGAGGACAATGTGTTACAACCTGCTACGTTGCCTGAGGATGTCTCGCCTGTTCCAGTTGAACTCCTGCAGATGATCAAAGGAGGTTGTGCGGCAGTTCGACCATGTTCTACAAGATATGTTGGAGCCCAGATGTCCTGTTCCATGTTCTGCAGTTGCCATGCTGGTCCAGAATGCTCAAATATACATACAAGGAGTGTCACATCTAAGAAGTTCTTGAACTGCTGGGACTTTCTTGTTTGTTTGTTACGGGAAATTCTCACATTTATTTCTGTGCTATCTTTCTATCCTTTTGTTGACAATTAGTCTTGATTAATGTGTTATAATCATGTATCTAAATGCGCTTAGACAAAAAGTAAAAATTAATGCATCTGTCAATTTGTTCTGCTGACGATATTTACTTATGTTGATATTTTATTGTCTTGTGGTAAAGGAAAAATAACAGTTTGGTAAAATGATCATGACACCTCATGCATAGTTAATGCGGGTCTCATTTTTTTATTAAGCAATAACATAATACAATATCGTGTATTGAGTCAATATTAATTCTGTGAGAAAGTGTTAATGTGTTTATGTTGTTTGATAAAGATAAACCGTGACTGATTTTTTTAAATATGAACTTTCACTTGGACATTATCAATAATTATCAACAACAGCTTATGAGAGTCGGTTAATAATGCAAGAAACTGACATCAACTAAACCACTTGAGACAGTTTCATATGATTCCTTATCATTTATAACATGGTATTTGACAACAAAATCAAGTCTCTAGGCTTAATAATTAACAAAATTAGAACATTTTAGGTATCCCGGGCAGGGATGGTCGCCATTTGTTTTTTGTCACTATTTTTTCCCCCCAAGAGTGACAATCCGGCTCCCGGAAGATTCATGTTCAGAATAGGTGAATAAATATGGTGAATGAATTAAAAATCATTGTATATACTAGAAAAGGTCCCTTAAAATTCCTCATTTGGCAACTGGACAATATTCCGTTGTGCCAGAGATAATGAAATTCACGTGACCCTGTAGATGGTATTATTATTATTATTATTATTATTATTATTATTATTATTATTATTATTATTATTATTATTATTATTATTTATAATTCACTTCCATCACTCTATATTCTTTTACACTGTTATTTAAATATATTGGTGTGTGACGTAATGACCTCGGTATCGCTGGACCTCGGGGTCGGAAGGGCAAGAATGGCACACCAGGCATACCAGGAGAGCCGGGGATCAGTACCTTGATGGTGAACGGTACCGCACCCTCCAAGCTCTTGTAGCTCCTGTTATACCAGGTAATACCAGTGATTATACTAGGTAGAACTTGTAATTATACCAGGTAATACCAGTGATTATACCAGGTAATACCAGTGATTATACCACCCATTATACCAGGTAGTATTAGTTATTATAACACCCATTATGCCAGGTAATACTGGTGATCATATCACCATGTTCTATTAATGATAATGACCATCATACCAAATTAAGCTATTCATTATACCAGGTACTACTAGTGGGTCATACTGTCCACCATAGCAGGTATTACAAGTTCTCATATCAGGTAAAACTCATCACCATACTATACTCTTTCCACGCTAACCTGGCTCATAGGCCACGCCCCTCTTCTATACTAATAGCTGATTGGTTCATAGAAAATTTAAACTAAATGTGTTAACAATTGGTAAGCAGACCTGTTATTATCTAAAATAATGTTAAATATATGGATTATAAAAATGCAAATCATTTCAAGGCATTAGCACTTCAGAGAGGACATTCGAAATTTTTTAATATTTATTATAAAAGGTCGATATAAATACGCGTTCATATACTCGCAGTCGGGGGTAGGTAAGACGCTCAGGGGAAGCAATCAGTTATTTGTAGCTATAGACGAGGGGCGTGGCTTACGAACCAGCTTAGCGTGGAAATACTATACAGTAGGTACTACTTGTGATATTACCAGGTAGTTGCTAATGATTATAATCAAGTGCAGTTTATCACTATAACAGGTACTTCTAGTGATCATGCCGTCTTTTTAACTGGGTACTGCACAGTTAGGGAGAGTCCCCAGTCTCTTTAATTCTATCTCTATCCCTCTTTTACCACATCACCACAGGTTCGACCCGCACGCGGCCTCGACGACGCAAGCCGATCGTCGTGCGGGAGGGCGACAATTTGCGGCTGCGGTGCCAAGCTGCAGGCGAACCTTTACCGCAAGTTGAATGGAGCCGAGAGGATGGCGGAGCAATACCAACCGGGCAGTGGAAGGGTAAGTGTTGGGGTGGTGTCCTAGGAGAGGGAATGGTGTTGCGATTGTGACCTGGGGTAGGAAATGGTGTTGAGGTGGTGACCTGGGGGAGGGTATGGTGTTGAGGTGGTGATCTGGGGGAGGTAGGTATAGTGCAGTAACCCGGAAGGTGATTGCTGAGGTGGTCATGCGAAAGTAGACCATGACAAATACATGAATAAATAAAAAATAGACAGTAGAAATAACAGAGGTCATGAAATGGAGCCTTGTGGTACACCAAAATAAACAGATTTGGTAAGTCATTCTAACACATGTACCGCATCCTCTTAAACAGATAAGAAAATGCTCACGTGTTGGATAATTAATCTTACAGTATCATTTTACTCAGGTTTTAATACCAATACGATAATAAAGGCTGTTTGGGGGTGTAAAAATACTGCACCCTGACTGTGAAGTTGTTACCATCAAAGGAGTTTTAATTATTGTCAGGGGAAGACAACTGGACACTTTTTGTCGACCTTTATGTTCTGAAACGGATTCCTTAATAATATTGTTGTGACTGCTGAAGGATTATTTAGGCGTTCTTAACAGCTTGATTCATTGTCCCGGTTGCACTACTCTATAAATTGGCTAATGTTTTCTTACGTTGCTGCTATATGGTAGACGAACTCTCTCTCATTGCTGGGGGTCCGATTATGTTATATAACGTTGTATTAGAGAGCAGCTTAGTGAACTGTTTGATGGTTTAGCCCAAGGTTGGCTGGGCTGGCTCACGACGTGACGAGGAGCTGTCAGCCAGGTAACGACCAAAGAGTGTGGTATATATCTTACCGTCTCGTAAGTTCTAGTTAGCATTTATAATTATCTGCGTGACCATATCCCAAAATATAATACACCCGAAAATATGCACACCTTAGATATGGATTTTAAGTGGTGTAGAAAACCTGTAGTTTCAGTGACACTGTGAGACAACCCACCACAGCAGCGGACTAACTTCGTTCTCTTCTTGTGTTGGCCCACCACAGATGGTTCGCTCATCGGTCGAGTGCTCAACCTGACACACGTACGTCGTGATCACACCGGTACGTACAGATGCGAGGCCTACAACGGCATCACGCCCAACGACTACAAGACCTTCAGAGTTGAGGTCCACTGTAAGTATCTGGGGGTTGGGGGAGGCATAAAATAAGGGGTGTGGGAAGTTTAACCCTTGAAGGAGTTTAGAGGATGGAAGGTGAAAGGGAGAGAGAATTATGAATGTAGGCCAGGGTGAATAAATGACCTCCCATAAACGATACATAGTTAAAAATTACCTATCTTAGATCCTAATACAATTACTCCATAAGTACTTATAAGTTTAACGTGGTTATGGAAAACTGTGACCCATTGTGAGCATTCCCATCTCTCTTTCCAAGTGTCCTCCTCCTCAACTCCTATTAACTATTTCCAATATCAAGAAAAGAACATTCTATCTATCCGTTATGAAATATATACACCCAGGCATTAATTTAAGTAGATATACCCAGGCATTAGATACACCCAGACATTTATTTTAAGTAGATACACCCAGGCATTAATTTAAGTAGATATACCCAGGCATTAGATACACCCAGACATTTATTAAAGTAGATATACCCAGGCATTAGATACACCCAAACATTTATTAAAGTAGATATACCCAGGCATTAGATACACCCAAACATTTATTAAAGTAGATATACCCAGGCATTAGATACACCCAAACATTTATTAAAGTAGATATACCCAGGCATTAGTTCAAGTGAAATACAACATTGATTCAGATTGTCGCACATATCAGAAAGACCTCATCAACATTAGCAACCTACCTAATAGAATATTAATGAACCACCACCACCACCACCACCACCCTGTATCCAGCGGGAGATATATTACCGAGTCCATTAATTACTTAACCCGGAAGGGCCTCTCTGGACACACTTGACGGGCTGGTGTGGAAGTGTGGCCTCATGACACATTTGTCTCTTTCTCCTAATACTCCTGCCAGCATGTATTCTCCCTTCTTCCTTCATATTATTATTATACATAGATATCTGAAGTTCCTTTTATATCTGATTTTATAATGAAAAGAAAACAGTCCTTCTACCCACCGTAACACCATCCCTTCCTGCAATCTGATAAAATTCACGCGTATACGGACCCAGTGTGAGGTGAATGATCCTTACTCATCATAACGTTACCGGGTGCCCATCAAGATGTTTAGGGTTTAGGCTAGGTACGGCTGGCTAAATTTGGTTGATTAGGTTAGATTAGTATCAGACTAGATTGTGCTGGTTAGATTTGGTTAGGTTGACAGAGTATATTAAAACCTAAGGTACTTTGGTTTTAGGATATGTTTTGGTTAGGGTTAGGTTAGGTTAGGTTAAGAATATGTTTTGTTTGCTGAAGGAGGGGGTAAATCTAGGCTAAATTTTAATTGGTTAGCTGAGGTGAGGTGAGGCAAGAATAGGCTAACATTTAGTTTGGTTAGGTTAAGACTAAGATTTGGTGAGAATACATAGGTTAGGTTAGATTAGGTAAGGATAGGTTAGGTTAAGTTAGGTTAGGCTAGGTTAGATTATGTAAAGTTAATTTAGGTTAGGTTAGCTTAGATTAGATTTGGTTATGTTGTAATGATGTACCAAATGTGAAAAAGGAAAAAGAGAGAGGGACAGCAACAAATGTCATTGGTAGACAAGAACCAATCAGAATACCTTTTGTCTCTTTCCACCCCTTCTCATCCCTCTCTCCTGACCAGTCGACCCGTACCTGGTGGTGAACCAGTGGAAAGTGGGTGCTTACAACGGGTCAAGTGCCAAGCTGGAGTGCCACGTAGAGGCCTTCCCCGTAGCCGTCACTTACTGGGAAGACCAACACGGCCGCATCCTCGATAACTCCACGAAGTACAACATCTCTTATCACCAGGACCCCAACTTTACATGGAAGGTGCGTCCTGCATCCTCCTTTTGGCTCTTCTGTTTCTCTCCCTGTCATCTTCTGCTTCCTCCTGTTGTCGCCCCCTGCTGCCTCTTTTTTTTTTTGGGGGACACTCCTATCCTTGTGTAAGGTGAAGCACAGCCTTAACAGAAAGCATGCTTGGATTCATGCTTGCCTTATGCTCTCTCTCATAGTTAAGGGCGTAAAGCTACCTCTTCATTTTCGCTACTGCTTCCTCCTGCCACCTCCTCTGCCCCTGCGCTTCCTCCGCTGCTTCTTCATGTTGCCTCCAGCTCCCTCCTCCCTCTTGCCTTCTACTGCCGCCTCAGTGTTCTTCTGTTCCTGTCTTAATTGTTCTTGTGATTTATGTCTCAGTTTTGTTATTTTTATGAATCCCGAGATAATTTTGTGTGAGTGTTTCCCTGAGCACTATGTTACAGTGATCTGCCAGGGCCATTTTTATGGCGAACCGGGATGTTATGACAGTCTTAATCCCTTGGCGAAAGTGATTTAAGCCCTTGAGTTCAATGACTTAACCTTCTTGAGTACATTGACCTAACCTCCCTGAAACATGATGATTTAAACCTTTGAGTATATTGACAACCGCTTAAAGTACTGTGATTTAACCTTGGGTAATTATGCTATGTGCGGTCTTGGGTATGAGAGTTTGTTGACCAAGGAGTGGTAAACAGAAAAAGAATTGGCGAGGCCAGGATTAGAAATTAGAGACCCACGTTGGAGAACCTGAGAGTAAGAAAAAATTGTAAAGGATTAAAAGGAGAGGCTGGACGAGTAAGAAAGCCAGTGTCTGACGAAAAATCAAGCGAGTGGAAGAAATTGTGAGTAATTGGGAGAGACAAAGCTGGTGGTGAAGAAGCACAGAGGATCACGACAACCGCGACAACAACAGCTAAGTGTACCAACCTGTTCCAGTCCTTTGATAGACAGGTGGGCGTTAGTACAGTCAGGGACAAGGAGGATGACAAAGGAAATTATAAAAACTTTAATTGTTGACTCACGATGGAGTACATGGACAAGGGCCTTTATTGGTAAAAACAAAAATAGGATGAGGTGTGTTTGCCAGAAGGAGCTGGGGTGGGGATATAATTGACAGGATGGATAAGCTATCTTGTCTGGTAATACAGGGAACAAACCCATTATCTGCCTCAGTGCAGAGGCAATGATGACGGCGGTCAGAACTTCTTGATAAGTTCAAAGGCAGCCATAGATCGTATTAGGACTAAGGGAGGGATCCTATCATATCACGGTGTCCTGCCTAGAAGGGGAGTTGGCAGTGAATGGTTGTCAAGGAAGCGGTTGGTGTCAATGACCGTCTTGACAGATATTGCAAGTCAATATCCGGTCCATTCATTGACAACTGGGACAACTCTGTGGCAGAAGGGACCTTTATGCTGGGGATGGGGTGCCTGTCTGGGGATGAGTACCAGCCTAGCTGGGGGGCTCTGGGGGGCAGTTCAAAAAGATATCAGAAGTCTTTAAACTGCTAAGAACATAGACGCGGGGGTGGAGGGGCTGCAGTGGGGCCGGGTAAACAAAGCGAAAGGTTACAGGGAAATAGTGTTAGTAATGATGACAAAAATAATTAGACAGGAGTCTAAAAACTAAGCAGCCTGATAAGGGACTCAGAACGACTAACTTAAATGTATACTCATTGAACGAGTAGAAGTATGTGAAACAAAATGGATGATAATGGGGCTTTGGTATGTACCGAAAGAAATCGATATAATTGCATTCACTGAAACATGTGGATCAACTTAGACACCCGTGGATTACCAGTCGAATACCAAATTGTGGGTTACAAACTGTTCCATACCGATGAGCAGACCAGGAAAGGAGGCGGAGTAGCAATCTATGTTAGGGATAATCTGAAGTGTGAAATAAATAAGAAATAAAAACTGAGAATACAGAAACAATTTGGATAGAATTAGCGACAGTCGGGAAAAATTAATCACAGGGTAATATATAGACCCCCAATCTTAGGTAGGCGTCAATGACGACTTATCTGGGATGAAATCATGGGGCTTCCACACACAACAAAAGTCTGTATAGTAGTGACTTTAACCTTGGTAGTAGTTGGATGTTGACCTTCACCAGGCGCTCAGAATCGAGGATTTTCTCGAGGCGATCGGGGACTGTAAGTCAACATATAACCGAACCCACAGGGGAGTGACATATATGGATTTGGATTCTGTCAAACAGGAAAACGCATTAGCAATGTCGAGGTGAGGAACGAACTTGCAAATAAGCGATCACAAAATTCGATTCCAGTTAGATTTGCAGAATGGTAATTCCACTAAAGTACCAGATTTCAGAAGGGCAAGCTTTGACAGTTAAAAAGGGCAGCTGAGAGGTGGCGGCTTGGCCGTGAACCTGACAGATGACTCCGACATTCTTGAGATCTGAAAGTTGCCGAGTTCCCGACAATTTTAAATAGTGAGTTATAATGCAAAAGGCAGAACATACCATACAAAAAAACTCCAGATGAGAATAATAATGACCCTCGTGGATAAATAATTATTTAAAAAGAACATCATTGAGAAGGCTATAGGTAGAAGGATAAATGGTAGTGAAATTCACCTCCGGGACTATTCTAGGGTGATGGCGAGTAGGGTTAAAACCGAGATAAGGAAAGCCAAGAGGAATAATGAGGTAAGGATAGCAAGGGGCGAAGAATGACCCCAAAAGTTCACAAATGTATCAAACTAAACACGAAAAAGATTGGACCAATAACGGTCCAGACTCGGCGAGCTCACACTGATGGCGGCGGAGAAATGACAATAATTGAATCAATATTTTTCAGCAGTTTCTACCGAAGATTTAAACATGATACCGAGGCACCGACTCTATTCAGAGATAGTGAAGAAAACAAATTAAATTGGGATCAGTAGTGACTTCAAATACTTGATGTTAGTAAGCAAATAGACAAACTAAAGCCCTAATAAGTCACCTGGTCGATGAGATATTTGCCAGAGTAAGGAATGAGGGAAAAGAGCTTAGTATGCCCTTAGCAAAGGATTGTTTGTATCGCCCAAAACAGGTGTGAATACCAGAATCCTGGAGGGATAGCGAATGTAATACCGATTTACTCAAGAGGATAGTCACTATCCTCTAACTACCGCCCAATCAGTCTAACATCAATAGTGAGCAAATTACTGGAAGCTTAATCATTTCAAACTCTATTAAAATCACCTGGAGAAAGCACCGATTGATCAATGATTCCCAGCATGGCCTCTAGGGGCGTTTCGCTGTAATCTATTAACATTCTTTTATCAGTTTTTCGAATTGGTGGACAAGGGCACAATTATGATGTGGTATATCTCGACTTTATAAAAGCCTTCAAACAGAGTCCCCAAAGGCTAATTAGAAAATTGAAGCTCATGGCATCAAGGTGACATCCTTAAATGGATGAGGGAAGCGTGGTTACAGGACGAGGCTTGGCAGTGAGCATTACTTGACACTAAGTCTCATTGGAGCAACGTCACAAGTGGAGTTCCCCAAGGCTCAGTACTTGGACCATTATTATTTATTATATACATAAACGACATAGATATCGGCATAGACAGCAACATAAGCAAATTTACTGATGACACTAAAATAGGACGTGTTATTAAATCTGACGAGGACTCCACAAAACTACAGGAAGATCTAAACAAACTTTTCGAATGGTCTGAAAAATGGCAGATGAAATTCAACTTGGACAAATGTAAAGCACTCAGTATAGGAGATGTAAACAGGGAAACCAGATACCAGATGAACAACGATGCCATAGAGAAATCCGACTGCGAGAGAGATTTGGGAGTAATGATAAGTAGGAACCTTAAGCCAAGTAAACAATGTGTTTTTGCTCGTAACAAGGCTAATAAAGTACTTGGGTTCATACAAAGGAGTGTTAGTTACAAGACTAGCGAGGTCATCCTAAAACTGTATCTTGCGCTTGTGAGACTACACCTGGATTACGCAGTTCAGTTCTGGTCACCGTATTACAGAATGGATATGAATCCTTGGAAAGAATTCAGAGGAGAATGACAAGACTAATCCCGGGCACAGGAACCCTGAGCATAGAGACAGGTTAAAGCATCTTAATTTGCACTCCCTTGAGAGACGAGAGCGAGGGGCGACCTGATAGAGGTGTATAAGTGGAAGGCAGGGCTAAACAAAGGGGACATTACAAAGGGTACTAAACCATCTTGAACCAGGAGCGAACTCAAATAATGGTTTAAGATTAATAGACAAATTTAGATTTAGGCGTGAACAGGTAAACACTGGTTTGAAACAGAGTAGTGGGATGAATGCAAACAAGTTACCAACATCAATATTAACTCGAATACGCTTGAATTGCTTCAAACATAGGTTACGCCCATATGAGCAATAGGGTTATAAACGGGATCGCCCAGTATAGGCCAATAATAGGCCCGCTGCAGTTTCCTCCATTCTTATGTTCTTATGTTCTACTTAACTCGACATAGATTGCTACTCCGCCTCCTATCCTAATCTGCCTATCGGTAGGGAATAATTTGTAACCTGCAATTTGGTATTCGGTAACTCACATGAGTCAAGTTTATCCATATTTCGGTGAATGCAAGTATATCGATTTTTTTCGTTACATACCAATGCCCTGATTTCATCCATTTTGTGTCTCATACTCCTACTGTTTGCGTAGTAGACATTTAAGTTAGTCATGTTCTGAGTCCTCTCTTTGGCACGCTTAAGTTTTAACTCCCTGCCTAATTTTATTCTGTCATCATTCCTAGCACTATTTCCCTGTAACCTTTTACTTTGTTTACCCGCTCCCACTACAGTCTCCTCCACCTCCGTGCCCATATGTTCCCCCAAGTAGTTTAAAGACTTAGACATCTTTTGAACTGCCCTCTCGAGAGAGCCAACCAGGGTTGCCACCCCATCCCTAGCATAAAGGTCCCTTCTGCCGTAAAAGTTGTCCTAGTTGTCAATGAATGGGACTGATATTGACTTGCAATATCTGTCAAGATGGCCGTTGACAACAACTGCCCTTGACAACCAATCATTGCTAACTCTCCTTCTAGGCAGGACACCACATATGATAGGGATCCCTCCCTTCAAGCTAATACGTTCTATCGCTGTCTTAAACTTATCAAGAAGCTCCTCACTCCTACACCGGCCAATATCATTGCCTCCTGCATTGCCTCATTGCCATCCTGTCAACTATATCCCCCCCCCCCCAGCTCCTGGCAAACAAACCCTCATCCTATTTTTGTATTTACCACACAAAACTCCATCCAGGTACCGTACCTGGGAATCGCCAACAATTAAGCTTTTCGTACCTTCCTTGTCAGCCCTGTCCCTGACTATGCTAACGTCCAATTCGTCTATCAAAGGACTAAAAGAATTTGTATACTTAGCTGTTGTCGTTTCCTTGGTGTGTTTTCTCACTACCATTTTGGTCGTTCCTCTCCTCACAACCTTCCATTCGCCTGAGTTTTCGCCAGACACGGGCTTTCCTTGTCTCGTGTCTTCTGCCTTCATCCTCGCTATCACTTCCTATAATTTCATGTTTTCTTCCTTGACCTTCACTAACTCGGCCACTAGCTCGGCCCTCAGAAGGGCACAGCTCTGTTCACAAGTAGCATTAGCTATTACTGACAATGTATCCCCGGGCCTGACGTGACCTTCCTCTCGCGAGATCAGAACACAACCGTAGCCCTGACTTCTTGACAATCTGCCCCAATCCCTAACTCCTTAACGTAAATAGCTAGCCCATATGCCTATGATTTCTTTATTGCTTTTACACTGATACTGGCAGCAAAATCATAAGTTTATAAATAATAATAAAGAGAGGAATAAGAGGATTGTTAATAATAGTAATAATAATAAATTTTTAATACTAAGAATAGGAATATCGTAAAAATAATGATTACATGAGAAGTTCAAGTGGCTAACTGAAAGATAGTGTCCTAGGAGTTGAGAAAATCAGGAAATATGGCAAGAATATCCACCTCGGCCAACTACGTCACATATAAGCTCCGCTCATGCCCATGGGTAGACTTGGTTTATTTAGACTTTGATTATCGCATTGTGCTCCCCCAGGGTGATATAATGTTGTTCTCTTCCAGCTTATTATAACATTGTTCTCCCTTAGAGCGCCATGCTGCTGAACATCTCAGACATCGAGGAGTCAGACCTGGGTGACTACCATTGTGTGGCCAAGAACGAGTTGTCCATCACGCGCGGCCTCGTGAAGGTGTACGGTAAGTCTCCCTATACTGTACTGTATACTGTACTCCAAGCTTTGTCAATAAATTTGTTAAACTAACTTAAATAGCCTCGGGCCGCGTGAGCCTCACCATCTCTGTAGTGTTGACGTACAGGTTTATTTCCTCACACTCACGAATACTTCCAGACCTTGAGAGTATGAATGAAGAGGAAATAGTAGTCTCCATTTATGAATAGATCGTTGTTATGAAGACAAAATAAGAGTCGTTGACCTTTGCGACTCAACACTCTTTAGAGAGACTCACTTAAGGCTTACTCTTACCATTCACCATCTAAGAGAGCCTCCAAGATATGCAGGTTAACAGACAAGGACTGAAGACAATGTAACTCAGATTCACCCACAAGACAGCGACAAAACAAACCAACAACAAACTGACCAGACAAACACAGCCGTTTACTGAGGCTCTAACCACTCCCTAAACCTTCATGTTAACCGCTTAAAGAGCAAAGTATCCCATAGGTATTTTATTCTGGCTAACGCCAGACGGTTTTATTCAGGTGAGGTGAACTTCACCCTGCTAAAGGGTAAGAACCTATCTCGACTCGAGAGCCGGTCACATATGACCAAGTTTCATGTCCTAGCAAGGGTCCAGGAGAGGGGACTCGTCTTGTCATTATCTACGGAGAGTCATCGTGAACGCTATGGCGGGGTCAGTCCCAAAGCCTCTCTTCATTTAAAAGACAAATCCTACTCTAAGAAGCTGACCATTAAACCTCGAAAACAATAAAATTTACTATAATATAGTGAAACTGCGGAAGTGCTGGACATAAATTAGCTAACTGATAAAAGATCAAATCCATTTTTCTTTCTTAGTCTTCGGGTTGATAATAAGGTGACCAAAAAACCTAATTTATGTCTAAAATCTGAAAATCGAATAAAGTAACCAGAAGGGAGAAGGCTAAATTCTTGCCACCATGTTCACACGAGTCACACACACTGCGATTCTGTTTTGTTAGGTACGGCCAAATAACCTCACTCATAGTCACACAAACCTAGAGGTGAAATGTTACCTCTCTCTTTCTCTCTCTTTTCGCTTCTGCTGGAGGCTGTTTTGCTCCTAGATATCATATCGTGTTAACTGGTGGCCCCATAGACCTTATTGTTAGTGTTATATTGGTTAAGGTTTCAGATATACGGTAAATTACAAGTTTTATAGTTCTTAAGAACTTGGTTTGGGGGGTTTGTGACTTGTAACCCTGGAAGCTTTCGAGTTTGGTTTCATTAAAGGCCGGAATAAATGTATTTAATCAGGTTGGGTTGGTATAAGTTAGATTATTTTAGGTTAGGTTAAGTTTGGTTGGGTTAAGAACTCTGTGAACATTACAGAGCTCCTATCACTATAGAATTCTTGTGTGCCCGTTAACAAGGTTGGACTTCTGAGGTTTCTTTGTGAGAAATGGAGTGAGGAGAGGTTGCCGTTCCAACACTTGGTTCACCTAGTCTACGGTATACCAATGTCGTGGCGTCAAGGAAAACACAAAAAGTGTGCTTCTTACAGAAGGGTCAGTCACATACAGTATGTGTCTGACTTAAGTATATTCAACATGAACCTGACACCAGAGGCACACTCAGTTGAGCTGTCGTAAGGGTGGGACTTGTATAAGGTGAGCTCCGTGTTTTTCGTCGAAAAACAAGGTCATTCCAAAAGTATCCAGTCTGGCTTCAAGAAAATCCGACTCGTAAGTGACTATTACGTGAAGTGATCAGTACATCATCAACCTGTGAACCTCCTGAGTGGATAATTTTAACAATTATTGGTGAACCTGTGACTTCTCCGCTAGGTCATAGTGTCACCAAGCTTCTCTCGGTGCCACGGCTTGTAATTTGAACTGCTTGTCCAATCATGCCCACCTCCCCGTCCCACCCCCACCCCACCCTGCACCCCGCCAGCCCATCCTGCCATCCATCCCAGGTGACCGACTCTCCCCTGAAAAAAGTCACAAAAAGCTGTCAGGGCCACTACTGAATATTCCTCATCTTCCAGCAGTGCTTCAACCCCAAGGCCCGTTAATCAGACTCGCGTTCTGAAATAACAGCTTTGGTTAACGGACCAAAATCATGTAGAGAAACCTTTGCTACTTCCAGCTGACAGTTGAAGATGACATTTCCATGCAATTACCAAGGGTGGATCCGGGGAGGGGGGGTCAGTCCAGACCTTTTTTTTCACCAGAAAATTCCAATACTTTTTCTTTAATGCTGTATTGTACTAAGGCGTTTTTGTCTAGAAAAAAGTATTTACTATTGACTTCAGAATATCTCCTAATATCAAGTGCGCATGGCTTCAAAATGGCCTTAAAATGGCCTCAAAATACCAATGATATTGGTCAGATTAAAAAAAAACAAAGATGGGTGGGCTCACTTCGATCGCCATGTTCCCCCACCCACAACTTCTTGGACCCCCCCCCCCGTCCCTTTTGATATTCCTGGATCCACCCCAGATTATGTGAGCATACATTCAAGGAAACTATCTAAATATGATTTTCTCTCAGACTTGAAATTTGGTGGGATTAATTTCAGTAATTAATTACATCCAGAAGAACATAACACCAACCAAATACCCGAGAAACCAATAGTTGGCGAGTACTGAAATGAGCATTGAGAAAAATGTCATTAAAATAGTCCAAGCATCATTACGACCACTAATTATTCCACAATCGAACTGTCGATGATAGGATCGGACTCGGCATGCTCAGGAGTACCTATACTGTGATTTTGAACATTGCATCAGGTGAATTGTTGCACCAAGTGACTTGTAACAGATGACATATAGCAACAGGTGATTTTATGCACCACGTGACTTCTTGGACCAGGTGACACATTGCTACAGTTACATATTGCACTAGGTGAGATATTGAACCAGATGACTTGTTGCACCAGGTGACTTATTGTACCAAGTGACTTGTTGTACCGGGTGACATATTGCGCCAGGTGACTTGTTGCTCTAGATGACTTGTTGTACAAGGTGACATAATGCACTAGGTGACTTTTAGCACCAGGTGGCATATTGCACCAGGTGACTTGTTGCTCCACGTTACATAATGGCAGACTAAGTTATTTTTCAGATGCCTGTGAGGTGTGTATTATTCAAAGAGAATACTTACTATTGTCATGGTGTTTTTCTAAAGAGAAAGAGTTTATTAGCTGTGCAATAATTGGTTGACTTCTTTCATCCTCTGACAGAGATTGATGGGACGCTGCACGTCCCCTCCACGGGCACGGTGGATGGCCTAACCTTCGGTCCTGACCCACCACGCTTTGTGGACCTGTTCGATGACTTGTGTCCCCCGCCCCCTGAGTGCCCCGATTGTCCCAAGGTGCCCAAGTGTGCCGAGGGTCGAGGCGCTCTCTTCGGCATCAGAGTTGAGCAGTTCGGGAACGACACGTACCCGGGCTTCAAGAACAGGACGATGGGTAAGTCTGTCCTCGCCCATGTTAGGTCTGAGTGACTTCTCTCTTAATACTTGTTTGTCATAGCTTAACGTATGGTAGCTGCAGTAAGACACCATCATTGATTACTACACTTTTACTGGCAGTTCTGAAAGGTCTTCTTTAATGCATATAATTTTGCATAAGGTTTTGTTTACGCTGAATTAATTTTTCATTCATATATATACTTAGCCATGTGAGACTGATTTTTTTCTGCTCCCGACAACACTCTCTACATAAAACCAGCTAACAGTTGTCATGGTGGGTGTTACAGATTGCATGTTGTCAGCGGTGGGTAAACCTGTCTATCATCGTCATACCGAGTCTAATTTCGGGTCGTGGATGCGCGACCCGCATCCAAGGGAACCCCGGCGGGAGCCTCGCTTCTGGACCACAAACCCGGCCGATCCCTACCATCTGTACGAGTTTTCTGACAAGAATCGTTACCGGAAGAACCTCCCCAGCAAGAACTATACGTTGATCAGTCCTTTTGTGGTGAGTCTTATCTCTAATAGATCGCGTTAATTTGGTGAATGAAACAAGGGTTACAAAGGAGAGTCATTAATAGTTTATAAGAATTGTTCCGCGTAGAGTTTTGTTGGTTTTGGGAGATATTAATAGTTATGGTGGTATATTTGTTAATAGGTGAGGTGATAGGTAAGGTGATAGGTGAGGTGATAGGTAAGGTGATAGGTGAGGTGATAGGTAAGGTGATAGGTGAGATGATAGATGTGGTTATAGATATCCTTCTCAGATATGTTGCTACCTTCTAATTCAATATTTTCTTCTAACAATGTGTTGGTTAGTTTCCATAGGTTACAGTACTCACAATGTGTTGGTTAGTTTCCATAGGTTACAGTACTCACAATGTGTTGGTTAGTTTCCATAGGTTACAGTACTCACAATGTGTTGGTTAGTTTCCATAGGTTACAGTACTCACAATGTGTTGGTTAGTTTCCATAGGTTACAGTACTCACAATGTGCTGGTTAGTTTCCATAGGTTACAGTACTCACAATGTGTTGGTTAGTTTCCATAGGTTACAGTACTCACAATGTGTTGGTTAGTTTCCATAGGTTACAGTACTCACAATGTGTTGGTTAGTTTCCATAGGTTACAGTACTCACAATGTGTTGGTTAGTTCCATAGGTTACAGTACTCACAATGTGCTGGTTAGTTTCCATAGGTTACAGTACTCACAATGTGTTGGTTAGTTTCCATAGGTTACAGTACTCACAATGTGTTGGTTAGTTTACATAGGTTACAGTACTCACAATGTGTTGGTTAGTTTCCATAGGTTACAGTACTCACAATGTGTTGGTTGGTGTCCACAGGGCAACTCGCATGTGATATACAACGGGGCGTTCTACTACCACCAACAAGGCCAACAAAACATCATCCGGTACGACCTCATATCTGGTAACACCATGTCGGTGCCAGTACCTGGAGTGGCGACGGAAGGAGACAACTACCTGTACTCCACCGGTCGGGACTACATCGACCTCAATACCGACGACAACGGCCTCTGGGCTATCTACGGCCTCCCAGAAGCTGACAACAACACCGTGGTGATGAAGCTCGACCCCTCGACGCTTAAGGTGAGAGAAAGGAGATGACCTTAGAAGCCAAGAAGTGATGTTGAGGGCCACGGAGTGATCTGTTGAGGACCAGGGAGTGATGTTGGTGGTCAGGGAATGATGTTGAGAGCCAGGGAGTGATCTGTTCAGGGCCAGGGAGAGATGGTGAGGGCCAGGGAGTGATGATGATGGCCAGCGGGAGTGATGGTGAGGGACAGGGAGTGATGTTGAGGACCAGCAGGGAGTGATGGTGAGAGCCAGGGAGTGATGGTGAGGGCCAGGAAGTGATGATGATGGCCAGCAGGGAGTGATGGTGAGGGCCAGGGAGTGATGGTGAGGGCCAGGAAGTGATGATGATGGCCAGCAGGGAGTGATGGTGAGGGCCAGGGAGTGATGGTGAGGGCCAGGAAGTGATGAGTGAGGGCCAGGCAGTGTTGGTGAGGGCCAGCAGGGAGTGATGGTGAGAACCAGGGGATAATGGTGAGGGCCATGGGGTGATGGTGAGGGCCAGGTAGTGATGGTGAGGTCCAGCAGGGAGTGACGGTGAGGGCCTGGGAATGACGGTGAGGGCCTGGGAGTGACTGTGAGGGTCAGGAGATATAATGGGGCCAGGAGGGGTGTGGCCAGGAGGGGTGTTGGCCAGGTGTTGAGGGCCGGGGAGGGTGTTGAGGGCCAGGAGGGAGTTGAGGCCGGGAGGGGGTGTTGTGGTCAGAGGGATGTTGTGTAGAGGCAATGGAGAGAAGCTCATAAGTGAATAAATAGTACGGCTACAGGGAGGGAGGGGGGGGGGTTAGTTAATACTGTTGATGTGAGATAAAACTGTCCAGCAGATCAGAGTGTAGAGCTTGGTGAACATTTGTTGCCTTTCCTTTGGTATATAGCTAAGTGGCGATTGAACTGTTATGACGAGAATAGACAACGTCCACATAGGTGCACGTGGCTCGGAGGTCAACTAGCTAACACTCTAATAACCCTGTAAAATAACCCTTCATATACTACAAACTGTGTCTCCTGGCGGCAGGTGGAGTACAGCTGGAACATCTCCCTTAGTCACCACAAGTTCGGAGAGCTCTTCATCACGTGTGGTGTCCTTTACGCTATCGACAGTGCAACGGAGAGAGACACCAAGATCAGGTACGTTGTATACTGCTGACACTGGCTGATGTGTGGTGTTGTCAGCCCCACCACTCCTCCCATCTTTATTGAATCAACATTATTTTGAGGGAATGTTGTCTGCAGCTATACCTAATAAATAAATACATTTCTCAACACCACCACGAGAATCAGGTGCAGTGCAGTAAGTTGGATGTGCAGTGTAGGTAACATAGTTAACTACCAGTACAGTCAGTGAAAGCATCATTGATTATTAGCCAACTATTACTAAGGTCTTTAATCATCTACAATACAGTAAAAATAAAACGTTATAAGGATACACACGTGTGTGTGTGTGTGTGTGTGTGTGTGTGTGTTAGCTATGTCTGAAGAGTCTTACAGGCCACCCATAGGCCCACGTATAAGAGCCTGGCATAACCAAAAGTCCCCCCTCCCACAGGTTCGCGTTGGACCTGTACCGCAAGAGATTCCTGGATGTGGACCTCCCCTTCAATAACCCCTTCAAGATGACCACCATGTTGGGCTACAATTACGACACCAAGGTACGTCCCACACCTGGTACTACCGTCCCCACACCTGGTACTACCGTCCCCACGCCTGGTACTACCGTCCCCACACCTGGTACTACCGTCCCCACACCTGGTACTACCGTCCCGACACCTGGCACTACCGTCCCCACACCTGGTACTACCGTCCCACACCTGGCACTACCGTCCCCACACCTGTTGCCTCTGCCCTCATTCCTGCTTTTCTGTCCAAACACCTGCTACTGTTTCACCTACACCCATTGCTGCTGTTGTTGTCCCCACTCCTGTTGTTGTTGTCCCCACACCTGTTTCTGCTGTCCCCACACCTGTTGTCCCCATATCTACTATTGTACTCACACACCTGCTACTGCTTCACCCAGACCTGCTGCTGCTGCTGCCCCCACATTTACTGCCTTTGTCCCCCACTCCTGCCATTTCTAACATCATAAATGATACCACCATCCCACACCTGTTCCTGCTGCCCCACACCTGTTCTTTTTTTCTTCCTTTTTTCTCTTTTTTTTGCGGGGATTAGCCCACCCGGGCACAGGTCACTGACCCACATCGGGGCCTGGGGGGGCGAAAATGTAATAATAATAATAATAATTAATAATTAATAAATAATAATAACAATAACAATAACAATAATAATAATAATAATGATAATAATAATAATAATAATAATAATAATAATAATAATAATAATAATAATAATAATAATAATAATAACACTGTAACAATAATAATAAAGAAATACAAGAAAAAAATCAATAATGAGAAACGATATATGTATGTTGTGTTGTCAAAGTAAGAGAAACAATTGAGACCCCGCAATTGTGTGTAAATGAGGCAGAAAGATAGATCAGCAACCTGGGACTTGGTCACAAATTTCGTGATGCCATATGGCAGCAGGGTCTACCATTAGACAACACATTATGCTTCCAATATCTTCCCAGGCGGTAGTACCTCCCTGTTTGATAGCTGCCTACTACCTACTTGCTGCCCCACACCCATTCTTGGTGTCCCACACCTATTCTTGCTGCCCCACACCAGTTCTTGCTGCCCCACTCCTGTTCTTGCTGTCCCACACCAGTTCTTGCTTCCCACACCTGTTCCTGCTGTCCCACGCCTGTTTTTTCTACCCCACATCTGTTCTTACTGCCCCACACCTGTTTTTGCTGCCCCACACCTGTTTTTGTTGCCACACACCTGTTCTTGCTGTCCCACAGCTGTTCTTGCTGTCCCACAGCTGTTCTTCCTGTCCCACACCTGTTCCTGCTGCCCCATACCTGTTCTTGCTGTCCCACACCCATTCCTGCTGTCCCACAACTGTTTTTGCTGCCCCACACCTGTTCTTGCTACCTCACACCTATTCCTGCTGTCCCATACTTGTTTTTGCTGTCCCACACCTGTTCTTACTGTCCCACACCTGTTCTTACTGCTTCACACCTGTTCTTGCTGTCTCACACTTGTTTCTGCTGCCCCACACCTGTTCTTGCTGCCCCACACCTGTTCTTGCTGCCCCATACCTGTTCTTGCTGCCCCATACCTGTTCTTGCTGCCCCATACCTGTTCTTGCTGCCCCACACCTGTTCTTGCTGCCCCACACCTGTTCTTGCTGTCTTACACCTGCTTCATGCTGTTTGTAAGCCATACGTCACTCGACACATGTATTAAAGGTAATCCAGTAAATCAAAACAAAAGGCTTCAAATAATTTTTTTTCAGCTTTTATCGCCAATAAAAACAAAACAAATTTAATCATTACTTTTCGTATGTAAGAAAAAATATATTATGTTTTCGTGTTTCTTCCTCTGAGGTGATGTAATGGTTGGAAACGTTCCCAAGCAGTCTTTGAGTCTCCGCTAAAAATCGGGTGTTACTGGCTCGTTCTCCCGCATCATTAAGTTAGAAAATTTAATAAAATCTCCCTCACACGACTAATTATTCAAATGTTGCAGCTAACTGTGTTGGGGAGAAAAATATCCCCGGCTAAAATATGTAAACTTATAAAAGCGGATGCAAGTTTGATAAATCCTGGAGTGACGGCCGTTGAAAAAGAGAGAAAAACATCCGTAATATAAATATACCCTTTATTTATTTTTAACATAGCAACGTGTGTAAAAAAATGTTGCTTGTATCAAAAAATATTTATTTACTTATTTCGTTTTACCCTGGACGTTTCCCCTACCTGTAAATGTTTTGTTACACATATAATAGTCAGTGTATATAGTTATTTTATCAAGGTGATCATTGTGGCAGAGCTTTTTACTATGGATATAATACTGAAGTTCATTTTTTTTTAGTTTTTTTTTGCAATGTAAAGTTACAGCAAAAATTCCCTCGACACCTGTCAATATCAGACATGTACTGTACTTGTTTCCTCTTTATTAAGCCCGAATAAGAACGCGAGAAAACACTCTATTAAACGAAGAAAAAATGAGCTCATAGATCTTTGAATCACAATTGCATTTCCCTCCCCGACCCTCAAATGATGCCAGATTTTATCAAAAGTGAAGGTTTGTTGCTGGTTCTCCTTTTCAGAATAGTAACACTTTAGGTTTATCTGAATAGATATAAAAAATATTAAGAAAAAATATTCAGCTTAATTGACAGCCATGCACCTAGAATCATGTTTTTTTTTTTCAATTTTCGCTTAACTGTGTTGGAGACAGTTCAAGTGTTGTTGATGTTATGTTATCGCGCTTCAAAAACTGAGATCTTTCAGCAGGAACTCTACATTAGATCATACATTAGACATCAACTATTATCAGATGTTTGTGAGGCGATGATGACAAAGATGTGTACAAGGATGGTCGAGTTTTGGAGGTGGCTGTGTATAATGAAAGATTAAATATAACTCGTGAAACATTACGACAGCCCCCTACCACAAGGCAGAGCGCACCAAAAGTTTAGCCCTTCGGCATATGTTTTCACCAAATTTCCCGACACGACTTTTGTCTTTCAATGCAATACATCACCAAGATGGAGGAAGTCAAGTAACACTAAACATAAAAATATTTAGCAAGTCTCACGTTACTCTTGTAGGCTGAGTTTTACTGTTATATAACTCTTTAACATTGTAAAACATTCTGGTCCATTACCATCGTTAACCAACTACAGTAAGTCTCTACGTGGTAATGTTCTGCCTAACGTGATCTGCTGTTTCTTAACCTGGCCATTTAACATTAAAAGAATTGTATTTCTCGCAGGAGATTTATTCATGGGACAACGGGAACCAACTGACGTACCCGGTCAAAGTGATCGACATCGGGTACAACACGCCGGACGAGGAGAGAGGCGGCCCCGAGGCTGCTGCTCACTCTATGGACTACGACAAAGACTACGAGGTAGACGAGTTCGGCAGCTAGCACAAGCCCTAGTTGGCCCCACTCCACCTTTAGCTGTTTCAGTTTCAGCCCTGGGTGTCTCTGCTGCAACCCTGGGTGTCTCAGTTCACCTCTGGGCGTCTCAGTTCCAGCCCTGGGTGTCTCGGCTCCAGCCAAGAGTGTGTCAGCCCCAGTCCTTGGTGTCTCAATTTCATTGCTAGGTGTCTCAGCCCCTGTTTTTTGTGTCTAAGCTCCAGTTCACAGCAGAGTTGGACGTACAGGATGTTCTACCATCAGCATCTGAAAGAGACTTTCTCTTTCTCCGTGACAATGTAGATGCAACATATTCCGTCAGTAGATGTCTAAACACTTATCTCATCGTACTGTTGTTAATTTTTTAACACACGAGACTTTTTTTTTCATTGTGAGGGAATTATCAAACACTATTGTAAAGGGTATAGTAGTCCCGCTGTCACAAATCCAATGTATAACCGCAGAGTCCAAAGTCCCTCTGCGGTAGTGTCCGTATTATATCCCTTTGTACCAATAAGGAGAGTAGGACTTTTTTCCCACGGTAACTACATAAAACATGATCTTTGATGTCTTTGTAGAATGTGGTAAATTTACTATGGGAATAAATGGACTCGGATCATTACCATCACAAGTGGTATGTTAATGTTATCTGAGATGAGATAGATCGCAGTAGATAAGTTCGTGTTTTGAAACTAACAAAATAAATAATACGTGATTTTTAGAGGGCTAGAAAGGTGTTCTAACAAGTGTTCATCTGCTGTGCATGTGGGTGAGGCAGCAGCCATCACCATCATTTATTAAGCTAAGGAAGTAATCCACTATGACCTCAAGATGTACATCTGGTCATAACTAATTTTGACATGTAGCTAATGTGTGTTAGACCTCGGAGTGCAGTGTATGATGAGATAAGTAATGTGTTCCGTGGCATTTGAGGTCATGACGTAAAGTTGGTATCTTTTATGTTATCGACCGCAGTGTCTCCAAGTAGAGGCCACGGGGTGACTGGCTCTGTGTACCCCGTGTACAGTAAAGCTCTGCCTCGCCCTAGTTCAGAGCGTTAACTAACTCAATTGTGGGAGTTTACGTAAAAGAATGAACGACTTCTTTTTCATTTCGTGTGAGTGCCAACAAAACAGTCAAGGCATAACCGGTAACATAGGAAGAAACTATTCGTTACACAAGTTAAAATATTATGATGTATGACAAAAGAATGGAATTCAATTTCGTTAGTTAACAATATAAAGGCAAAATGGCTGAAGTAACTTTCCATTGTGTTCCCTCTGTTATTCATAGACGGATGGGAACACGTGTATAAGGCACAGAGATAGATGTTAGTAGCGAGCGCATGGAACCTGTACTTAGTGAGTAGCGGTGAACCATAGCATAGCTCATTAGCACAACAACTACTGTAGCATCAGGGCAGTGGCGGTGCCTGCTAGTACAGATACAGTCGCCTTCTGTTGCACTCTGTAGTTGGGCCAGTTGTAGCAGTGTCCAGCTGGCTCTACTGTAGGCTGCAGGTAACAAGAAGAGACACACAAGTGCCCTAGTTCACCGCCTACACCTGCTGGTCGACGCCAGTTTGTCTGACGGCCTCTTTATACATATCCCACTTACCCAGAGATGAAAATGTCCTGAAGGTGCGAGGTTAAAGCCAGTGTCCGCTGTTTAATGTTCTCGGCTACGTTGACATTGTACCATTCATTCTTAAGGTTATGTTGAAAGTGTATTGTACAGTGCTAGAATATTGAAGGATTCTTTATATTGCAGGAGGAATAGCCAAATGAAATGTATTTTTGTAATCTAAAAATCTTTAAATGCTTCGTGTAAAATTAAATGCTTTTTAAGTAGTCTGTGACTTTAGCTTATAGCTTTTGGTGCATTATAGGACCAGTGTTATTAGATTGAGAAGAAGCAATAACAGATATGGCTGAGGGATTCTCAGAGCTTCCGTTGTAACATAACATAGAGACATTATAACATTATGTATAATTTAATACAAGTTTTTATATATTTTAATTCTAAGTAACATTTGTTCGGAGACTTACCGTATGGGTATACGAGTATACTCCCCCCCCCCCCCCCCCCTCCCCACCACCTGCCATGTTTGCCCTCCAACCCTCCCATCAGACCCTCCCCTCCCCTCCACCCACCCCTACCCCTTCTCTTCCACTCGCACACCCTTCACTAACTCCTTCAATCCTCTCTCCTTCCCAATTCCTCCAACCCTCCCCATCCACCACTCCTTCATCCTTCTCCAATCTTCCCCACTTCTCCCCTTCCCCACTCCTCCAGCTCCCCTACTCATCTCCCCTTCCCTACTCCTCTCCCCTTCCCCCTCCTCCCCTTTCCCCTTCGCACCCTCTTCCCTCGAACCGTCCTCTCCCCGGGTCATCAACAAAGAGGTGTAGTCTCCACCTTCATCTGGCCTTGTAATGTAATTCTGATGTTTGATGTTGTAAAGTTAATTGTACATTGATCTCTCTCTCTCTCTCTCTCTCTCTCTCTCTCTCTCTCTCTCTCATTTCACCTTTTCTCCTCCTCCTTGATTCCATTTCACCTTTTCTCCTCCTCCTTGATTCCATTTCCTATCTCTTCCATTCTGGTTCTATTTTCCCTCACTTCCGGAAGCTTTATTGATATACTGTAAAAAATAAACAAGTAAGATAGACAGCAGTTTTTTCTTCTCATTATCCTCTTATTTGTGTTGATTGGTTGATGGGTGACTGTCTACTGAATGTTGATTGGAAGATGGGTGATCCTCTACTGTGTATTGATTGGTTGATGGGTGACCTGCTGAAAGTTGATTGGTTGATGGTTGACCCCTGTTCACTGACTAATAGTTGACTGCTGCTGACTGTTGAGTGATGACTGATGGTTAACCCCCTGCTGACTGTTGATTGCCTGATGGCTGACCCCTGCTGACTGTTGATTGCCTGATGGTTGACCCATGCTGACTGTTGATTGTCTGATGGCTGACCCCTGTTGACTGTTGATTGCCTGATGGTTGACCCATGCTGGCTGTTGATTGTCTGATGGCTGACCCCTGTTGACTGTTGATTGCCTGATGGTTGACCCATGCTGGCTGTTGATCGTCTGATGGCTGACCCCTGTTGACTGTTGATTGCCTGATGGTTGACCCATGCTGACTGTTGATTGTCTGATGGCTGACCCCTGTTGACTGTTGATTGTCTGATGGCTGACCCATGCTGACTGTTGATTGCATGATGGTTGACCCATGCTGACTGTTGACTGACTGATGTGTAATATCGGATTTCATAGTACATAATTTCATGCTTTTAGAGATTTGTAGATTCAATTACAGAACAGTTTCGCGCCAAGCCAAGCCTATGGCCTGTAAACCAATCACAGGGAGCCTGTGACATGACGCCAAGAACACTTTGAGTTGATTGAGTGAACCAATGAGCATCTCATACACACAGAGAAGTGCGGGCTAGTTAAAAAAAACAGTCTGTTTTTTGAAGTGCAGCAGTGTGCACGTCCTGGGTATCTTTGGGCCATATGGCGGGAAATCATGAGTGCATACTGATGGTATAGTCCCTTGTAAGATGTTATGTTGGAAGAGCGTGGTCCCTTTAATTAATTGAGAGTGTAGGTGTTGAAGTGATGCTGTAAATCATTCTAAATTACGTGTTTTAGATAAATGAAAGAGTTGTTCAACAGAGTCATCAATCTTCCCCTTTACCGAGTATAACTTAAAAGAGAGTACCTTGAATTAATTGAAATGACAAAAATTACTCTAAAGCTAAACAAAGCCTCCACTTCAAATGCACTTGTGTTATATAATTGAGTGTGAGTGAACAAAACTCTATCCCTCAGTAACACTCTTCTCCATCAATTATTCTACAATCCTCCTATTCTCCCCTCTCTTTATCCCCAGGACGAGGGAGGCCCGTACTGCACACCTCCCGTTCTCTCTACGCGTTATGATAGTAAGCCATCATCATTGTGGATAAGGTTATGTGAACTCCACGTCTCCAGGTACGAGTAATTCACCGATAGTTAATGCAAGCTAACAGAAAACAAAATATTAAAACAAAATTTTCATTCTTTAAACTTTAACCATAAATTTTTAAAAAATTCATCAATTTGAGAAACTTACTGGTAAATATGTGCAAAACTTGGCACTTCTGTATGTTGATGACCACGCTACACTCTAACTCTGGGTGACTAGTTATAGGGTGCAAGTGGGCACGCCTCGTAAATGATAAAGCCGTTGACGTACTTGAGGCGTCTATGAGAGTCTCTCGCAGCACCATTGATCATGGCCAGGAAGGCGATGAATCCACACATAGTACCATGAAGGGGCCGCGTACCCTTTGCGACCAGTCACTAGGGAAGATACAGAACCAGCGGAGATATGTGGATCGAAGTCATAACTCGAAGTCTTTGGATGATAAGTGAGTGATCTATATTCTGTAAGGTTGAAACCTTTCGAAAAGTCATACAAGACCAAAGAAAATATCTTTCCGGGCTTGTCAAGGTCGGTGAGCATGTCATGAAAGAGACGAACAAAGTTGTGCGTGGTGCAGCATATTTTCATAGCACCATAGGGGAGGAGGTCGGACCTGATCAATGGTGCTACAAAGCCGTCAAGGGTCTTGCTGAGAATGGGAGAAAGACTGACAGGTCTAAGTTCGTCAATGGTGTTGGGTTTAAGTTTCTTAGGTGTTGAAATGTTGGTTGCTTGACGCCAGAGGGAGGGAACATGTCCCAAAGACCTACAGTATTGTACATATGGGTGAGAGTTAAGCTCAATTCAGTGACGAACTCCTTTATGAGTCTGATTGGGAAGTCACCTGGAGGTATGGCCATGTTACTCTTCAAATGTGAGAGATTTTTGGCCACGCCCCACGGTTGTAGTTCTACTGTACGATGCCTTCCTCCGCTGGGAGGTAGGCAGGAAGAGGGGGCAGCCGGTTGCACACCACAGTGAAGTGTGTATTAATTTTCCCCGTGAGGCTTTGGTCATCGGGTGCGTTGTCCAGGTCTATTTACCAGGGCTTGGGTTTGCGATTCGCAAGGACTTGTACCTCCCGATACTAGCCTCCTTTCGTGTCGTTGCAGATGTTTTGGATGCAGCAACGATATCATGTGGATTTGGCGGATTTAATTATAACTCTAACCTCCAATCTCTGTTGGTCAAGCCGTTGGTGCTGGCACCTGTTGAGTGTCCGGTCACGTTAGGAGAAGAGCCATTATATTTTTGCAGTCTTCCAGCCAAGGTCATTGTTCCGAATGATGAAGATGATTTGTTGGAAGCACTTCTCGTAGTTGGTCTAAAGTACGTGCTGAAAGGGTTCTAAAGCACAGTCAAGGTCTGAAATTCATATCACATCCACCCAGACTTCAGATGCAATCCACTGCCCGAAGTGCTTGGTAGATGAAACTGAGTAGTCGAGCTGAGATGGCTTGGTGTGCATGGTGCTGTTGGAATACACACCTCCACACAACGTCGTCGCCCGATGTACTGACCAAGACTCTGACATAAGGTGTCACAGTCAAAATGCTGATTGAAATTACCTGAAATGATGATACGGGATTCTGGCCTCAAGGAAAGGATGGTGTCAGTTGATTGAAATAAACTATCAATTATTAATTGGAGTCGTTCTACACGTGTTGGGTGAAATGTAAACTGCCGCACCAGTATGCAGTTTTCACGTTTTCGGTTCAACAAATATCGTGATACTTCCAACTCGTCTCGGTACTACAATCTTTAGTTCACTATGAATGTAAATCAACACCCCAGCTCGTCCGTCTACTACGCAGAAGAAACGGCCCCTACGTCGTATGTCATATCCTGGCAATTCAATTTCCCCACCAGCTTCATTGTTCAAGTTTCTTTCTGTTATCACTGCAATGTCAAAACTATGTTGTGATAATAATATTTCCAATTTTATCTAATTTTGTGTTCGTTTGCAGAAAGAAACACCGAGGGACGACGCACCGGTCGGCCGCGCCCACGCCCAACAAGCAATGCAGATCGCAAACTGATTAGCTGCATTATCTAAGAATGTAAGCTGAACACTCCGAGATTTGCATCAGGATTAAATAACGAGTTATTCTGCCCGCAAGTACCTCACGCTGCCGCCCACGTCTGCGCCTCTGCCGACTAGGGCTCCCCCTCCATGTAAGTTCTAAAATCTTATTTCAAGAGCCGGATTCAGGGTTATTTAACAAACTATGATGGCGGTATACTAGTTGCCTGGTTGTTAACAACTCATTACGACTATAATTAAGCAATGTTATCATGCACTGAGACAGCTGGCCACACGGTTGTATGATAAAAAGTTACACCCAAATGGAATTACATTTGTCCCTTCGACATTGATATATGAGTTAATAGATAGAGATACACACACCTGTCTAACAAATTTGGTGGAACAGTTGTATCAGAAGAGTCTACCTTAAAAAAATCAAGGGCTAAAAACATAACCGGAAGCTCACTCGGAGAGTACCAGAAGTCCGAGACGCACCTCAAGAACTTTAAACTCTTATAAAAGCGCATATATATATATATATATATATATATATATATATATATATATATATATATATATATATATATATATATATATATATATATATATATATATATATATCCAAGCTTGCTAAAAGGGATAATTATTCAATGTGTGGTGTAAAGACATTAAACCTAAAATTACAAATACTCAATGATCAAGTCATTATTTGATCTCTGGCAGAATAACAGTCACAAAATAGGAGTGGCTGTCACAGTAGAATATATTGGAACCTGGACTCAATGGACTCCATGGCATAAACACGTATCCTATACGATCTCTCTCTCTCTCTCACACACACACACACACACACACAGTTAAACACATAAATATAATGACTAGAGCACAATAAATGAGCGCTCTAGCTACGTGGGGCAATTGTGGTTCTAAAGCGATGTATCTGGAAAACGTGAGTCAAGTGTTTGACAATATTAATAACATTGTCAGCAATGTCACTGTCACTGTCAACCGCCTTTCATCATAAACGGCAACTTGGAACACACTTAAATAACATCTCTCATGTAACATAATTTGTGTGATATTGAAATATTTTGTACACACACACACACACACACACACACACACACATACACACACACACACACACACACACACACACACACACCACACAAATAACCAGGACAGAGATCATATTAATTACAGTTTCAATACCTAGTAGATTAATATTTTAGTGAGGTATCGAGCATCAGCTGATCGACTGTGTCATCAGTCGTGGCCAGAGCGAGGCTTTGTATCAATAATGGGGGCAGCCGCTTCTCCTGCTTTATTCCCATTTTCAATATCATCCATGTTTTCCTAAACTTCAGACGCAGAAATCCATTAACTGTGGAAATGTTTGATAAAGTTTGACTTCTCAACTTTTAATGAAATTGTGAAGATGGTGGTGATCAGGCTGACAGGAAGCTGGCCGTGAGCCAATTATGTGTAGAGGACGAGGGGGGTTCGCGGCTCTGGCAACTTGGATTCGTCTGGCCTCAATCCTGACTCTTTTACTATGCACTATTCCTCATCCTCCATGTTGTCATAAGAGGAGCTTCGGACCATAACCTGCTAAGAGCCATATATCGCTGAAACGTGTTAAATATTGCATTGTATTCCCCAACCTCTA